GAATGCGTCTTGTTGCACGCGAGCTGCAACAGGTCAGTGTCCGTCTTGTTGGACTTGGTTTGGTGCGAGGACACTTCTAGGTTGCCTGCTCGTGGCGTGGTGTTGCCCACGTCGAGGAGATCATGGGAGTTGACTGAGCGGGATGGGCGTGATTGCCCAGAGTTGTGGTGACTACGTCGAACAGCTAAGTCAGCCGTGTAGTCAAGGATGCTCTTCTTGCCCTGCTCGGAGATATTATCCCATGCCTCTTGATCCGACTTGGACAACGACCGCCATGTGGTTGCGTTCATCATGACCTTGCGTGGACCACGAGTGTCTGTCTGATGGGCTTGCAATAGGACCTCCACCGGTGTATCCATATCGTGGACGAACACCTCATAGGTGTTGTCACAGGTTTCCGCTGTACCATCATCGAAGAGAATTTCGTGTTGGTAGGTGCGACGACGAGCGTTGCTTCGAGAGCGTGTGGACGTCCCATGATTTGCATTGTCATGCAGTTGTGCTTGCTCGAGAAGGGCTGCTCGGTATTGCTCGAGCGTATACTGGGAGGTGTCGCCTGCAGCTTTCTTGGTTTGCAGTGCGAGACGTCGTACAGGGGCGAGATTTGGTGCCTTGGAGATTGAGCGTTCCAAGAAACGTGCCCCCTGTTGGTCAGTGTATGGTTCGTCGCTGATCTCATTGTACTGCCGAAATTGTTCGAGGAAGTTGGAGATGAAACCAGCTTGGGACCCTCTCCATACACCTTCTGCGATATCGGCGGAGGTGAGATAACACGAAATCTTATCCGAGCGCAGGGTTGCGACCATGGACTTGGAGTAATATTCGTCAATTGCCTTCCAGATCGCACGAGTGTCCTTGTCGGTTTCGTTGGCAAGGACGACAGATCGTGCCTGTGCTTCTTGGAAGATGTCTTTGAAGGTCTTGTACATCCATTCTCGTTGTTTCTCATCTAGTTCGACGTTGGTGACCGTGAAGCCAGAATCAATGAGGTGGGAGAGACCTTGAGATTTGAGCGTGTTGAGGAAGTTCTTCCTCCATTTGATGCAGACTGATTCATCGCGAAACTCTCTGAACTCTGAGCGGACGGGCTTGTTGTTCTTGTCCCAAAGTGCAATTGCACGCTCTCCATCGGTCATCGTGGCATCGCTGCGTCTCATTTGTTGCCATGGGACGATTTTGCCGTGTGGCTGGAAGAGTCCAACTCTGAAAGCGTCGAGCGCGTCGGCCGTCAGTGATACGATGCGGATGGGTGCCTTCCTCTTGAACGACCAATGGTGATACATCTGTATCGCCGCGAGCAGTAGCTTCTTCCTGGTGAGAGGTACTGGTCTTGGAGCGCCGTGGGTGTCGTTGGAAGCTTGGAGATCCATAACTTCATCTTTGGTGAGAAGTAGGAGATCCATCCATCCGTCGATTCCTTGTTCAGACAGTGCGATGCGCATGTGAGATGCATTGTACCCTGTGGTGGAAGCGTCTTCGCTGCATAGGTTGCATAGGACATGCTTAAGCTTGGCTGGTTCATCGGCCATCTTGATGGAGGTGTGGCAGTGCATAACTGCGACTAGTTAATCTGCTAACGTGAGGAAATACTACTTGAATAGAGGGATCTTGTAGAGGTAGCTACCACCCAACGAGATCAGCTGCAACTATTCAAGACGAGTGCAAGGTAAATGCAAAGTTCGCTTCTTAGTAATTCATAATCTGTGTTGTGAGCTTTGATTGATGCGATCAGTAAAGCTAGTTCGTAGCGTGTTAGATCAATGCATCGTGGTAGTTGATCTTGATTCATACGGAAGTCAACGTGGTATCTGCGGGAAACGGTTCGTTGGCAGGATGCTTTACTCCTGTCGAATACTCCAATTTACCGTGTCCTTTGGTTTCGTTGAGAACGTGTTCTTGCCAGCGTTCTCTGTTCCATCGTGTTGACTCATAAAGCATGACTCAATCTACTCACGGATACTCTGAGTCGTGGGAGGAACTGTAACGCTTTCAAGAGCAAGACCAGATGTTCAGACACTAACAATTGTTCTCTGTACACGTGTGAGGAATCCCACAGTTGATGACTGGGGGAAGTTGATCCAAGGATTGAAGTTCCTGGACCAAACAGTGGAGGACAAGTTGATACTCCATGTTGATGATATCCGTGTCATCACTTGGTGGGTGGATGCATCATTTGCAGTCCATCCTGATTACCGTTCCCATACAGGAGGAGTCATGTCCTTTGGAAGAGGAGCGGTGTTGTCGGTATCCGCGAAACAGAAGCTCAACTCAAGGAGCAGTACCGAAGCGGAGTTGATTGGAGCAGACGACGTCATGTTGCAATACACGGCTCTTAGCCTTATTCGCGACTCGATCCTAGATAGGGTTTGAGTTCGACTCATGACTGAGTCTCTCGTTAATAGTCATTTGAGACAGGGTTCTCAATGACCGCGCTAGTCATACTAGGTTGATGATGAAACATCGCTCTAGATATTTAGCCAGCGTGGAGTACTTCCACGCTACTAGATCCAGGCTAGACAAACCTTCCACGCGTTCCGTTTTAGGATCGTGGAGAGACGTAGGATTACTACCGCAACCTACTCTATCACACACTATAGTCTCCCGTGGGAAGCCAGATCTACGATCCCTTGATGATGATCTCTCTCGTTGATTAGTTTTCATAGCTTTCTAATCTCTCTCATAACTTTCATTCTCTCAAACTCAAAACACTCGAAAGATCTTTACACTAGCTTTTAGCGTAGTGCATTTTGTTAACAAACACAATAGCTTTCAGCTACGCTCAACCTATTCCTTCACCATGAAGATGGCTCAAGGAAAGCATGCGTTCTGCAACTTCGAGAAACAGTTGCGTGACAAACCCATTCTTCCTCTCGTCGACAATGACGAAGAAAACGAGATCGACGATACTCGTGCAACCACTTGCAAACTTCGCAACCATGTTGCCAAGCGCAAATCAGAAGACTCTGACAATGAGGACAACTCCTCTATCAATTTCAATCACTTGGATGGAGAAATCTCTATCTGAGGATTAGGCCAGGATGATGACTCAACGGAACCATGTTCCGATTTCTCATACCAAAGTGATGAAGATATCTCACTAACTAGTAAACAAGAATTGTTTGCAACTGATGAACACTACGGCAAATTAGATGATTGCCTAGAAGCTGCTCAACTAGACTCTGATGATCTATTTAGCATCGTTAACCTCGTCCGTGGCCAACCACCTCGTAAACGTCGCAAGACAAGAGACCTCAAACCCATCGTCTATGTTAGATTTAACAAGCGAGAAAAAGGGAAACCAAAACCCGTTACACTCCGTTGCTTACTGGATACAGGAGCATCCGGAACCTTGATTGCTCAACCTCATGCTAAGAAATTACGCATGAAGGATCTTGGGGGCGTCCAAACGATGTGGACTACCCCTGCAGGAGAATTAAACACCAGCACGAAGTGCAAAGGTGCATTTATGATTCCTGAATTCCACGAAGATAGAATTATCGAGTGGGATTTACACGTCACCAAGAGCTTGGGGGCGTATGACATGATCATAGGTCGAGACATTCTCTCTGATCTAGGATTCAAGTTCGATTTCACTACCATGTCAGTGGAATGGGACGGCGCATCTATTCCTATGAAAGATAGCGACACCAATGAAGAAGAGAACTTCTTCATTCCTGATCCTACTGCTGTTGATGACAGTGCAGATCGTCTCAAGAAGATTCTTGATGCGAAATACGAACAAGCTGACTTAAGGCAGGTTTGCCAAAGTCAAGATCAGTTAAACACGGAAGAGAAGGAACAGCTTCATTCCTTACTGACGAAGTACTCTGACCTATTCGATGGTACTTTAGGAAAGTGGCAGATGGACGACTACGAAGTAGAACTTCTCCCTGATGCTAAACCCTATCATGCCAGGGCTTATCCTATTCCACGGGTCCATACCAACACTCTTGGTTTGAGTTCGACTCATGACTGAGTCTCTCGTGAATAGTCATTGAGACAGGGTTCTCATGACCGCTAGTCATACTAGGTCGATGGTGAAACATCGCGCTAGATATTTAGCTGGCGTGGAGAGATTCCACGCTACTAGATAAATGCTAGACGAATCTTCCACGCGTTCCGTTTTTGGATCGTGGAACGAGTAGGATTACTACCACAACCTACTCTATCACATTTTACAGTCTCCCGCGGGAGTTCAGATCTACGATCCCTTGATTGTGATCTCTCTCGTTGATTAGTTTTCATAGCTTTCTAATCCTCTCATAACTTTCATTCTCTCAAACTCAAAACACTCGAAAGATCTTTACACTAGCTTTTAGCGTAGTGCACTCATGGTCGCGTTGTTGTTTCGATCGTAGGCGCTGACTTCAAGACAAACTAAGTTGGATAGAAGGACGACGTTCGGTGGAGGACGTTCGGTGGAGGATAGCAGGACAACGTTCGATCGGTGGGCGCACTGGGGATAGAACGACGATAGATAGAAGGACAGCGGATACAATAGTGATTAGTAGCATGCCATTGTTAACAACAACAACAACAACAACAACAACAACAGCACTCACAGAGATGGATCGATCGAAATGCAACAGCAACAGCAACAGCAACAGCAACAGCAACAGCAACAGCAACAGCAACAGCAGAGATCGGAGGAAAATGGGAAGGCAAGGTGCGAGCGAAGGATTGGGAAAAGAGCAAGTGGGTATCCGTTGCGACATTCAAATTCAAATGAACCAACGTATTCCCTGTGACGTACTTGATGACATATTGTTGTTCTTCAGACGTCTTACCCATGGGGGAGATGTCTGTTTTATATAGGAGACGTAGAGGGTCATTGCCATCTCCCCTCTTCGCTATAAGTGATCTCTAGTCCCGGTGACTGTTTACTGGTGCCGGCAGGCTTTCAACGGCGGAATTGGGAATCCAACTGATAACCCTCTCCCTTTCTTTTTTCTTTTCCCTCCCCCGCGCTGCTGCCTAACCCCCCCATAATCTCACCAAAGAATTGCCTCGTGGAAGTGGCATCTTCTCCTTGTGATGATGATAGACTGCTACCTCGAGCTACGGGTACCGTAAGATACCAGGAGGTAGCGCAGTGTACATCGGTAGCGCAGATAGGCCAAGAATCTATCCTCATAGTTTCAAACTCGATTCGATTCGATTCGATTCGATTCATTCGTCATTTGCGAGGAAAACGACAACAAACCTGCCCATTGATACTATCACGTTGGCTGCCGCCATGTCCGCAATGTCATCGTCAGTCTCGCTCACTGCTCTTCTGGTTCCAGCCTACAAGCAAATGCTCAAGCATCTCTCCGCGTGGCTGGAAAAGACTGGAGATGATCCCAACGAAATGCTCGCACGTCGATTGGCTCCCGACATGTTTCCTTTGGATACCCAAGTTCGATTCGCTTGCTTCCAGGCACAGGAAGCCGTCTTTCGGCTTCAAGGAAAGCAGGTCCCTCAGGTGATACTCGATATTGCCCAAGAGGGTCGGAACAACGCCGAATCACCCGGGACAGTAGAAGAAGCCAAGGCACGCATTCAAGAGGCATTGGCCTTTTTGGAGGCATTGGACGAGGATGCGTTGGATTCCTGTGCGCTTCAAAAGGTTACCTTGGAACTCCCCGACGGGCTGATTTTTGACATGACAGGGTTTCAGTACGTTCGAGATTGGGCGCAACCGCAATTCTACTTTCATTTGATGACGGCTTATTCCATTTTGCGAAAAATGCTGGAGTCAATTTGGGAAAAGCAGACTATGTGCCTCACATGTTTGCCTATGCTAGGCCACCAGCTGGATCCGGTCCGGACAAATAAAGTGGCAATCCAATTTGCAGAAGCAGTACGATTTCTACTTGCTTTTTGCTTTTCCCCAGCATGAGGCAGACCACCACTACCGGCATTCTAGCCAGTTAGTAATTAACCAATGATTTGCAATAGCTACAAAGCTACAGCAAATGAACATTTGGTGTATTTTGGGGTTTTAAATATTAGAGCAAAACACGATTATGGACCAGGGGTATGTCCACCAGTAGGTGTAGAGTTGACTATGTGTGGGTTCTTTAGGTCCTGGCTGGTGTAGACCCCGATGTTATCCTTGTTGTAGATCCAGGTGTTGGCTAGGTTTGGGGCCTGGAGACGAGGGAAAACTGGAGTAGGTACTGGGAATGAACCAGATGTGAGTGCAGGATTTGGTTCTGGAGTTAATCCAGGTGTGGGGTCCGGAGACATATACAGGAGGCAAGTTTTTGTGACGGTTGTAGGGCGAGGCGTGGAACCAGGTGTAGAGCCTTGAGATGGACCAGTAGCTCCGAGTGTGATGCTGCACCGAGCAACATTCCTAATTCAAAAGGCAAGCTGAAAATCACATTCCTCCGCAAATTTCGAGCACTGGGGGCTAAGCTAGCTAGGTGGGGGCAGTGGTGGTGGGTAGCGCCGGGAGGGAGCAGGGAGGACAGGGGCCGGGCAAATGAAGGGCTAGGGGGGGAAGGGGGGGTGATGAGCAACAGGAGGAAGTAGAGGGGAAGTTGGGAGGGAGTTAGAGGTGGGCAAGATTAGTGGAAGAGGAGAGTACACCATTGGCATTCCATAGAGAACGGCGGTACCGGTAGCTCTTGTGCCAGTGGGGACGAGCCGAGCATTAACGTAGCCACACACCTCTGAGTAAGGGCGTTCCTACTTTGCAGCAAGCAAAGAGGAAATATGTTTGATGAGTGCCTAAGCTTTGGCCCCAAGGAGACCATCAGCAGAGACCACAAACAGAGTGAAGTGGCGGCATCATGGGGAGAAAATGATGAATGAGGATTGAATCGAATCGAATCGAATGATTCAATCGAATCAATCGAATAATTCATTCGGTTTGGTTGTTGCCTGCGTTCCGGTGTTTGATAGCTTTTCAGGCTTTTCTGATGTGACGCAAGAGCGCGCACAGAGTTGGCAGGTGCGTAGCAAAATCACGACCAATATTGCCAGCCAATGCCAATACCGATCTCCAGCGTCACAAGAAGGGACACTCACACTTTTTCTCGCTCCCGTTGGTTGCTGTCGTGTTGTCAGAGTCAAAGTCAAAGTGGAACTGGTTGCTAGCCTGAAAACCAAGGCGAAAACTGCAGATACAAGATTTGCTGTCGTTGTTGTATTGTTGACCTGCGAGAGTCCTTTGGTCATCTGTGTTTTGAACCATTATTTGTTATTTGTGATTGATTGTTGAAATTGTTGGCTTCCGTCAACCTGCTTTGTGCGAGAAAAAAAATGACCAAGACTTCTCGTGGTAGCGGCAAGGCCAAAGAGGCCACCAAGGTGTCCAAGAAATCCAAGCACGTGAAAGAAGACAAAGTCAAAGGGAACAAGAAGAAAGACAAAGAGGCAGAGGATGAAACTCAACCCGAAGCCGAGAAAAGAACAACTTCAACCACCAAGTCCACCAAAGACACTCCTGCGAGAGTCTCTCTGGGCCGAAACAAAAAGTCTCCAAAACTTTCTCAAGACGACAGCCTTGACTTTGTTGAAGAGGAAGAACCAGGAAAGGGTAAGTTGATCCGGTGGCTGCCAAAATTTTTGTTTTGTGATTGAATGTCCTCATGGCAATGACTGTTTCTTTCTTTTGCTTTCGATAGACTCGGCAATCAAGACCAAAGCTGCTGCTCGCAAGAAAGCCGACAATCCAAACGATAAACAAGCCGCAAAAAGCAACGGCAAGGAAATGTCTTCGGATGAGGAAGAAGCTTCCAAAACTGATGAAACTTCTGAAAAATCGAGAGAGGATGACGATGTGGCAGCATGCTGCATGTGTCACTGCGCTTTGGACTACAGCGACCGTGCGGCTTTCTTTGAAGCCGACCGACTCAAGGAGGTAGAAGAACACGAAAACAACAATGCCTCGGATGAAAGCAACAAACCACTCTACTTTCAGCCAACCGACCCATACGTCCCAAAATCGCTTTTCGACCCTGCCAATGCTTTGGTCTATTGCGAAGGCGGCTGCAATAGACTCTTCCATCAAAAGTGCCACTTTGTACCTGTCATGGTACTGCCTCGAGGGAAGTGGATCTGTCTGGTGTGCTCCACGACTTCCAAGCTGATCAAGAACAGAAACAAAAAGAAAAAAGAAAAAGCCAATACCGCTCCCTTTACCAAAAGGCAGTTGAGACGAATGTTTCAGACTCCATTTCCACCGGCAAAGTTGCAACTGATCATGTCCACGGACGAAAAGGTGTTTCACACCAAGGCCGAAAAGCAATGGGAAATTGCCACTGGCCATGAAAAGGCATTGTTGTGGAACCGGACTCTCACACAGATCATCCCCAACTGGATTCAATCGCAAATGAGCAACTTCTCGCAGGCCCAGACTGCTCTAGAAACGCTCACACGGACAAAGCAAAATCGACAACACTTTCTGGAAAACAAAGCCAGCAAACGAGGCAGTCAAGAGTTGGCGCAGACTTTGGTCAAGCTGGCGGGGGCAAAGTGGAAAATGCGACAGATGATGATGAATTTGAAAGAGATTCAGGTCAATCCGGAACGACACATTCAGTTGATGCATCAGTGGTGTCAACCACCAATCAGTCCGATGAACGGCAACAACAATAATGGCACGACTACTAATATCATCGTGAAGAGTGATGGCAATGCCCTACCAACAGCCACAACCGAAACGGAAGGGACGGCGTCAACCACAGCAACAACCACAGCAACTGACGCAGTAGCAGCCACAGACGCGAAACCTCAAGCAACGGAGGTGAAACCTGAAGGAGCGGAAGCAGAAGCAGCAGCCAAAGACGAAGTAAAACCTGAAGCAGCAACAGAAGCTGAAGCTCAAGAACTGGAGGCGAAACCTGAAGCAACCGAAGTAGCGGCAGGTACAGAACCAAAACCTGAAGCAACAAATAAAGATACATCTGGAGCTGCCAAATCATCTTGCGAAATACCAAATACTATCACAGCGCCAAATTCGTCTACTGCAGAAGCAACTATCGCGCGGCCTCCCCCCAAGAGTTTTGTGGATCGTGTACTCTTTCCCTTTGGAATGCACACGCCACGTTCGATTCCACGCACACCGGAAATGCTCGAGACCAATGACGGCGAAGCGAGCAGCGACAAGGCAGCATCGGACGGTGGCGGAATTCCAAGCGAAATCAAGGTAACCTCGCTCTCTTCGGATGACAAAGAATGCAATGACGGTGCAAAACGTACAAATGGCAAATCCGGTTCAGCCAAGAAAAAGCAGGCTGCAACCACTAAGACCGCGAAAGCGAAGGCGGACGATGAAAGTGATAGTAGTGGGGTGTCGCTTGACGACTTGAAATGCTGCATATGCTTGATCGGCGATGCATCGGATGAGAACGATCTACTGATGTGTGATATGCAGGGATGTTTCCGTGCGTTCCACATGGGATGCCTCGAGCCACGAGTGACTCTGGACGAAGTCGAAAGCAAGAAGGACGAAGATTGGTTCTGTCCGCTTTGCTCCAACATTGCAAACTGCATGCACAAAATGCAGAGCTACTACATGGGAGAGGAATGGGAGCAGCGTCGTCGGGAACGCGCCTGTGCGGAAGCTAAGAAAGCAAAAGCGAAGAATAAGGCTTCTCCAAAAGGGAAGAAAAAAGACGACAACCCGGAAAACCTTGTCAAACCTGCGGACAATGAGGATTCCAGTGACGAAGATTCGTTGAAATCTTGGGATCAACCAGACGATGTGTTCCCGGAATCCAAGTGGGACTATGAAACTGCTTTGCAGCTGAAGGCTGGAGAGCGAAACGATGACACCGATGCTCTGTTGCAGCAAGTCCTGGGAACAGGAGGAGGACATGAAGAAGGGGGCGAAACTAAGTTGATAGATTACATGTCAGACGGAACTGATGATGTGGAATTGGATGCTCATTTTGACTTGGAAGCCTTCCACGAAGAAAGACAAAAGGAATACGAAGAAATGGAGGAGGAGGAGGAGGACAGCGATGACGACAGCTCCCACTCGAGCAAAGCCACACTTGTAGACATGTCAAGTGTGGAGCTGAAGATCGGCAAGGATGAGCTCAACGCCTTGGACGGTTCTGATTCCTCTGAGTCCGAAGAAGATAGTGAGAAAGGGGACGACGATGATGACGAGGCGTCTGGAGGGCGCCGCCGTCGAAGTCGCCGTCTTCGTAGCCGTAAAACCCCGGAGGATGTCCCCAAGAATGTCGGGGTTGAGTTTGACATGGGCAACATCGTTCAAGGAAAGCGCCGCCGTAAGCCCGTGGACTACCGCAAACTGAACGACACCTTGTTCGGTGACTTGAATGAGAAGGAAATCGCCAACATTGACGATAAGGAGGACTTCCAGGTCCCTATGAAGAAAGTGACGCCCTCGAGCTCATCTGGAGACGACGACAGCGACAGTGACAACGACAGTGATGGCGAGGATGACGCCAATGACAGCAACGGCGAGAATCAAGAGTCGGACGAAGAACAGCAGGACGACAAATCGTCGGAAAAGAAGTCCAATGACCAAAACGCTCGAAAGAAACGTAAGCGGGCGGCTTTGAAGGAGGACAGCGACGTTGATTCGGGAAATGAAGCCGAGAACGATGACTCTTCCACTGATTCTAAAACCGGCAAGAAGAAAAGAACTGCCAAGAAGGCCAAGAAATCAACCAAGAAGAAGAGAAAGTCACCGCCCGCAACAAGCACAAAGGCGAACGGATCAAAGAGTCCAAACGGACGCACCGGTAAAACTGTGAAAGCTAAGACAACAACAAAGACAAAGCGCTCGACAAAGGCTAACATTGCTAAGGAAGCAGTTGAGGGCAAAGCAACAAAGAAGGGCGCGAAGAAGGCTGCCAAGGTCCCACAGAAAAAGAAAGGGGGGAAGGGGTCGAAGAAAACAAAGAACGAGTAGCTCAGCAGTAGAAGGACCAAACTGGTAACGCCTGGCACCCAGCACCCTGCGACAGGGAGCATTTGAGGGCTGCGAGCTGAGAGTGGACTGAAAGAGGAACGCTATGAAAAGATGACGATAAGTTGCTAACAGCCATCTATTAGAACAGATACGTAAACCGCCTTTACTTCGGACGTCACTGGAGCCAGTAGGCAGACCATCCACGAGGAAGAAGACGGTGTTCGGGGTGTTCACGGCTGTTCCTCGTCGACTGTCAGTTTCTGCGCTGCCCGTGGTTTCTGGCTCGATCGATGAGAAGGCCCCGCATTTTACCGGTCGATTGGAAGCTCTGACTGGTCCCAGATGGAAAATCAATCCAGGAGCATTGCGGCTCCCAAATTCGTGCCGGCTGACTGGCTAGCTAGACAGAGGTAAGGGCGAGTTTGATGCAACTGCCTTGAAGGGATGCTCAGTCGGGGTCCCGGCCTGAGCCAGCCAAACGCAACTATGACTTGATGCTGTCATGGCTTCGCAACTGGATTGGCCTGAGCCCCCCAACAAAACATGCTGCCTTGCAATTGATCAAAGTTGATCATTCGCTTTGTAACGTTGTACTTTGTCTTTCGGGTGCAGTTTTTAGTTGTGCTTACCAGCAGATTGTTGCTTTTACCATCTTGTGTCCACGAAACGCGCACACTCGACTCGCCACGCAGTCTTATTGATACCAGTGACGGCCAACCGGTACCAGGTACCTACCGTACCACTTGGTAGATCCAGTAAGATTTATTGATTGAGCATTCTTTAGTAGAGAACTTACTTGTGTAACATGCTTGTTCCACTTCTTCCCAAAAGATTGTGAATCGTGAAATAATGGATGCGAAGACACAACTTCAGTCCATAGTTTCCAGTTTTGCAGGCTGTGCATGTGGAGCATTTTCAGTTGCTACGTGCCGCTGTTGCGTCGTCTTCTTGTTTACGGAACTCAATTGACAGTTGCTGACTACATCTTGAGCAAGCGAAGTAACTGAGAAAACGATTGACAACAATCGACGCAACAACGGCCTTGAACATAGCACCTCGCCACAGACAATGACAATGACAACAGCAACAATCTCCATCAGAAATCCAAAGGATTTGGCGTCCTTAAAGTCTAAGAATCATCGGGCGAGCCTTAGGGGATTACGATGTTCTCTGATGGCCTCTGAAGAACAGCGGGTTGCACTCCTCAACTTGGCTTCGGATGCCAACTTGGTTGGGAGCAGCATGGAAGAAACTTCACGGTTCATCAAAGCCTCTGCCCAAACCTGCATCCCCAAGTTCTCAACGGAAGAAGTTGTGGTGGGAGAGCTGGTGGGAAAGGGTGGATTCAACGTTATTTTTGCGTTGGATGCAGTTGTGCTGCGGGATGATTCTAGTAGCAGCTGTGATTCTCAAAGGCCAACAGACGCCGAAGCCAAGCAGCGAGAGAGCGATGAGTTTCGCTTCCGTCAAGACCGACAACTGCAAGAACGGCGTCTTGCCTTTGCCAGCACGGTCAACCAACATAAGGATAATCATCAGTACGTAGTCAAGTTCCTTGTGCCGGACTTGAAATTGAACAAACTCAAAAGTGGGGCTCTCGACCTAGTGCGAGAAGCCAAAATGATGGCAAGTATGGAGCACAAGAACATCATTACACTCCGGGGGCTAGCCGAAGACAGTGCTGAGGGTCACTTTCTGGTCATGGACCGACTGTCGGAGACACTATTAGAACGGTTAACGCGGTGGAAGAGAACACATCGCACAGGTCCCCTCCAGGCAATATTGAAGAGCAAGAAGCAACGGCGACATTCCATGTCGTGTTTCTTCCTACAACGCTTCAATGTTCTGTTGGAACTTGCCTCGGCATTTGTTTACCTTCATTCCATCAACGTTGTGTACAAAGACGGCAAATTGGAGAACTGTGGCTTTGCCCAGAAGGATGGATGTCTCAAGTTGTTCGATTTCGGCTTGGCCAAGGAACTCCACAAGTACCCCAGAGTATCTCCAGACTCTAATCTTTATCACGTTGGCAGCTTTGGAGGTACCCACCCTTACATTGCGCCTGAGATTGCCAAAGGCCAGCCCTATGGTCTCAGTGCCGACGTGTACACCTTCTCTATCATTTGTTTTGAAGTGTTGACGATGCGAGAGCCATTTGCCAACCTTATGGAAGATGAATACGCAGACCGAGTGGTCTTTGGCAATCAACGACCCAGGCTTCCCAAGACCAGTAGCACTTGGTCGCCTGAACTGAAGCAGCTCCTCGCCGAATGTTGGAGCCCTGATGCGGATGCCCGACCCACCATGGATCAAGTGTTGTCCCGCCTGCAAGGGATCCGAGGTCCATTCTAACAAAAATTCAGATCATGTAGCAAAGCAATTGTACAAAACTGCACCTACTAGTTGTACACCACACTCTGCCATTCAAGTGTGACAGTCCAAGTTTGTAGAACCGAGTAAAGGTAACGTTGCCTGACTATTAGTGAGATTGGGTAGTTTTCAACGGCTCCGCTGGCCAGCCGTCAGTTATGCATAGCAGTACGCATACATGTAGCTACCAGTGCACCCTGTACCAGGTACCAGTACCAGGTGCTGAGTTGTGAATTAGTAAAGGGTGCGGTACCGCGAGAGCTACAAACAGTAAGCTCGTGTTCAGCATCAGGAAGGTTGGCGTTTTGTCCACTGAACAGAAACACCCACCAGAGCCGCGCCGCCAATGGCCTCCATGCAAAACAAGAAGCGGGAAAGGCATCCGGTGGATCGACAATGGCCTGTTCTCTGTTTGCAAGGACACCAAACGTCTCTCGTCTCACAGTATTCCAATTACAGTGAACGTTCACACATTTGCTCTTTCCGTATTGTCACAAGCTCAGCCTCTGTCTCCATTGATAATACAGTACGCCTCTTGATTTCAGTTCTTCTTCATTGCATTGTTGTTTGAATTGACTTGGTATCATGTCAGGTTCCTCGTTTGGTGCTCGTGGAGGCAATGCCTTTGCCAGTTTTCCCGGTCTGACCTCATCGAATGGTGGTCTAGGACCATCACCATCACCATCCCCATCAGCAGGCGCTGGAGGTGGTGGAGTTGGATTGCCATCTCTGAACTCCTCATCGTCAGGCGGTGGTGGTGGTCAGTATGGACCAGCAATAGAGTCTTTGACGCTGACGGCTCAGAGTGTGGGACTGACGATTGAACAACTGGCCGCCGCCTTATCAGCTTCTCCCAATTTGAAGACACTCTCGAACGAAAGTGGAATCATCACTGATAGTCAAAAGGAGCTGGCGCTGTCCTTATATCGAACCGAGTCACTGGCTCTCTATCGTCGTTGCATGTTATTGGCAGGGTTTGACCCGGATGCCATTGAAGAGCAGTCACCCGAGTACCAGCAGTTTGCCTTTCGGGCTTGGCAGGAAGAAGGACGGCGCTTGCAAGATTTGATGGGCAGGGAGATGTCATTGCAAGCGCCTGTCGTGGCCAATCTGCAACAAGAAGCAGCACAAGCCAAAGCTCATGCTCAAGTCCAGTCTCAAATTCAAGCCAAGGCTGTCCAGGCACAGGCCCAAGCTTTGGCGCTCGAACAACAGCAGCAAAAGCAACAACTCTTCTTACAAAGCCGATTGCAGCAACAGCAAAATGGGGGGCTCAACTCACTTTTATATAACAGCTCGGCTGGTTCCTCTCAACTATACAATGATGCTGTTCAAAAGAGATTGAATGGAATGCACAAGCCAGGACAGGCCTTCCGGTAATATGGAAAATGGAACAAAAACAAAAACACAATCACAACATCACACAGAATGAAAACGCTCTGGCAAAAATAACACCAAGTAGAGATAAATCCATTGACACAAAAATTCAAAGAATATGCAGCAAATTGGAGGATCAACTTTGGGACCTTCTTACTCGCAGACCAATCACTGGAGAGCTCTGTTGACTTCCGAGAGTCGAGTCCGCTACTGGTGGCTACGCGTACAATAATTGAAGTAAGAATGGTGCTACATTTAGCTGACAGGGTTTCAAAAGTTTGGTCTACCAGCATCATAGGATTTGAATTGGTTGTCATGGAGCATCTGCTGTATTAATTAATTGAATACAGTCACCGTCTCTGGACAAATTGGGACGTCTGAGTTGTCAACGATAGGTCAATTTTACTTTGCACCTTCTATCGTACTTGTGAGACGGTTGCTTCTTCGATTTGGCCACGAACGTATCGAGTGATTTCTATTTGAGCGGTCAACAAAGACAAGGCTTTTTTTAAAAGGTGCATTCCGACGGCCACATGCCATTCCCGAAGACACTGAAGGAGCTCGAGTCACAAGAGCAAAATATCTTTGCTCGTTGCAACTTCGTCCTCCATATCAGAATCGTTGTCGAATTCTCCTTGGTCTCACTTTCGACAGAGCTCCAGAAATGTGAAGTCATCCCATTGACCACAGGAAATCGATACGGTACGAGTCTTGTCGCCTCCTGACAACATGGTATGATTGGTTCCAGCACTTCCTACAACCACATCACCTTCCTTCAGGCATCTCGTTCGTTTCAATTCTGGCCAAGGCTGCTAATGCTGCTCGGACTGGATGACAAGCCAGTGTAGAGAGCAATTTTGGACCCCCCGCGTCCCAGTATCGCGCATTGTCATATCCTGTTTGATCTCCTTCTCCCAGATCATTGCCTTCTACTAGGCGATGAATGACAGTGAGCAAAATGTCTGCCCCATCTGACAATGGATGTTGTTCCGCCCAGTTTGCTTGGCCTCGATGAGGGGCAGCATGCTCTGCTTCTTCCAGGTTGTCATGTGACAGTGGAGGCCTCAACAAGGGACGCATGATGTTGATTTCTGCAGACCACATACAGGTACATGTACAACCCGCAGAAGGCGGAAGGATTGAAAGCAGAACGTGTGAATGGGACTGTACTAGCTACCGTGTACTCTAGCTAGTACTCAGTACTAGAAGCTAGCTACTAGTACTAGGTACTAGTAGTCTACTCAGTGCACACATAAATAAATGATCGCGGTAGAGGATGGGTCGTGTATCTGGAATAGGGTATTCCTGCTAAGTTGAACTCTGTTTACAGCACAAACATGATCGCGGTGAAGCGGTGACATTTCCAGTCTGGTCCAAGGAAACAAGTGTGGTAGCTTGTGGTTGAGAAGTTGAGACGTTGCACTTTTTAGGAAATCGTACCAAAAGTGTGGGTGGTACCAGAAAGGGTGGGTACGTTTTACGCCAACCTACGGTAGCCTGTCCCAGTCGGAGATCGGCAATTCTTTTTTTTCGGTTGCCCTCTCGGAGAATACATGTAGCTAGGCGGCTTGGTTTGCGGGCTTTGGCTGGCTTCTGGCTAGCGAAGCGCACTGCTGTCGGGAAAAGACAAAGAAGACTAGCAATAGGAAGCGGATCAGGAACGATTCTGATTCGCTTCAATCTTATTGATCAAATTGGCGGTGTACAAAGGAGTTTTGCCTGTTTGTAAGGGGATGACCGATCGGGAGCGTTCGAGAGAGAAAGATAGATAGATAGAGAGAGAGAGAGAGAGCTTCTTGCATAACAGCTATGTACAGCCACTATTGTTGTCTTGGCCCCCGCTGGCTAGCCAGTCCGAAGCTAGTCTGAGATGGTCGTGATGTTATTACACCACGATTTCACTGAGCGAAAATTTTTGGTTGGCACACAGCTTGAGAGTTCCCAGCGAGCATGCACCGTCATAATCAGCCTTGTGCCCTCGAACCTGCCAGGCATGAAGCTGTACTTTTACGGTGCGTAGCCAGCTGTTGAGGTTGTGGTCCCGTCAGTCGGGCATTGGGAACACGCTCCACGCTCTCCTTGAACCTTGAAGTACCGGTAGCACCGCACTTTGCCCATTGAGGCCATACCAGTACTTTACAAATAAATTACTAGTATTGAACTATTGAACTAGAGCAATTTTACGACTGAAATAAATAGACTGCACTCCAAAACCGCAGCTGAATCTCGCTATTCGCTATGCAGCCCTGCACTATTAATAGTCCACGCAGTCTGACTCCGAAGGGAAGATCTTAACTCTTTTCAGAAACAAAAGAACACCACCGTGCTCTTCGTTAACTCATATTTTCTGTTTCAAGCTCCCTTTGTTCCTTTTCACCCTCGCATTCTGGCGACGGCTGTATGCTGTTTTGTTCCAACTCTCCACACTTTTTGTGTAGTTTTCGCTCGGGGAGCTACGACGTACCCTGCACTGTCATCAACTGTTACTGATTTGGATCCGATCAGAATCGGGTCATCAGCTTTGCACCAACTGTATTCTCGAGTGCAGCTCAAGTGTTTTGTTCAGTCAAGTAATATCAACCTTGACTAAATAAAAGAATGAGAATGATTCAATCGCTTTATAAAACTGGCATTCAAATGGGCTGCATCCATCTACCTGGGCACAGCTGGACATCATTGCCTCACAAAATTTCAACAACAACAGTTGAACAACGACAGCAACAAATGCATTTCAATCCATCCCGAGCTACGCCCTTTGCTATGGATCATGAAGACGAACAAGAGATGAAGCCAGCAGCAGTCGGGGCCGACATGGCCGTGCCCACAACTCTGCACAATCTGCAAGTAGATGACAAGAGGAACTTTGAAAAGGGAGAATCCGATATGCCTCGAAACTATGAAGTGAAGACACCAGATGTCATTTGTGGAAATCGTGGGTCCAAAGAAACATACTCTCATCCAGGCAATGAGAGATTTCGCGTCATGATAGAGATGCGTCTTCAGAAATACAGTCAATCAACTAGGAAGGGCAAATCAGATATTGTCAAGGAGATTGTGGGCGCCGTTCGAGACTACGGCGGGCACTTTGTCAGACAAGATGACGATGGCCAATGGATTGACATTGGCAATCATAAAGCAAGGGAGAAGTGTGGGCATGCTATCCGCGCGGCCTTGACCAAAAACAAAACGCAACGTCTTGAGGGTCGGGACTCCATGTCAACCGGTTCCGGTTATGCTTCCGCACCGACAATACCGACTAGCAACCGAGCTGCAATGCCACGCCGTTCCTCTTCCATCAGTCAGCTATCTAGACAAAGCTCCAATTGTTCATCTCCCACCAATCAGATGGCCAGTGAAGCCAGTGAAGCCAAAGTGGCAAGCGAAGATGCTAGTGCGGAAAACGCACGCCAAGGCTACGTGTCCGAGTTCGAGCGTTCGTTGCTACTTCAAGAAACGGTTGGTCTGCTGGGGAAAAGGGACGTTGAGGAATACGAGTCCGAGCATGAAGATGGTGCGCAGACAGATGGCAATGACCAGTTCCTTGAGTATGAAAGGATGAAACGACGAAAGTTTTAAATTCAGTCCGTTGCTCCGTTGCACCAATCAGGGGAGCCCTGGGACAAAGACGCTCCACAACTTCAATACATGTAGTAATCAAGTAAATCGTTCAAGTAGCAAAACAAAAAACAAATTTGTACATTTGCTTTGACCAGAGATCCATGCCAGGTATCAGGAAATCTGTAGGGCGAACCATGGTGCATGCGGTCTACCGGTAGCCAGCACTTTGGGAAACTTTGGGAAACATTGGGAAACAATCAGAAACCATTCGAAAGATTGACACATGGCCTGCGACTTGCTGCAGCGAGATCTTCAGTATATGAGCTACCCAAATCAGGCTTAGCAAGATGCTCACAGGAAGTACTGAATCGGACACGTGGCGATTCAGCCCCACGACCTAGCTGGCTGCATTTAGCCGCAATCCCCAGGAAAGGCTATAAAACCCGAGTCGACAAGTATTGGAAAGGAGTTGTTTGTAGCAACAAACCCCCTACCGCAAAAGCAAGAGCAAGCAACCAAGTACCTACCTCCACTGAAAGAAGCAAGCCAAGATGACAGCAAGGTATCCTCTTCGAGTCACACATTTTTTTCTCGGAGTTGTTTGTCTTCTGTTTCTGTTTGAAACAACTGCGGCAACATCCTATGGAGGATCAAGAATCAACGACACAACAAAAGAAAGCACTACATGTTCGCCGCAACCTCTGGAGGAGCGCCTCTGGGAGGCACTCATGTACTTTGGCACCACTATTGAAACCTTTTCTCGCGGTTTTGGTTTGGGCTTTGGAGGACGAATGATGAAATTTGTGTGGGAGAACAAAGATGAAAACACGGACAACTTGATGGAGCGTATGAAAGTTTGTTCAGTTTCAGGAATGGCTTTGGCTGCAGTTGTCCATGGTGCTGCCTTGTTTATTCCCGCAGATTGGCGTCTGAAGTGGTTTGGCGCTTGACTCAAATGATTTTTCTAAAAGCTTTAGGAAGAGTCAAACTTGTGGAGTGATAATGGATAATTGCAAAAAATTGTGTGTCTTGACCGTGTAGGAGAAAAAGTGGACCAAACGGCCCGGTGGTGCCTACCGGTATGACGAAACAATATCAACTCGAAACTTCTTGTGCATGTTTCTCTCTTTGGCGCACAAAACCAATCGATCAGCCAACACAGTACTGGAAGAATGCACATTATATTACTACATTCCTTTATTCATTTTGTAAGTTCTAAGAATAGGCCCTGAATGATTCAATCAGTTTTTCCAAAGTGAACTCCGTGCCGTAGATTGCATTGATGTTCTTTGCTGAGCCTTTGAAAGGAGTGTTGGAGTATCCGTAATAACCACACAAATCAAGTCGAATTCTACAACTCTGTTTGCTTCTCTAATCCAATTGGGGTGATTCGGCTGCTTCTTCTGGTAGGTGTACTAGTACCAGTAGTACCGGTATGCCAAAGCATTGTGCTATTGTGCTGCGAGAGGGTCCTTGATGAGGGCTGAAAAGGCTTTGATGGAGGATACTCAGTACAGTACATGTGGTTGACGCAGTGGTACAGCTGTGAGCTGCACAAGTACCACTGCACAAGTAAGTAATACCGTATCTTGTGGCGGGAGTTGGGTCGACTGGCCGATCATGCACAAGATGTCCTTCACTGTTCTTGCAATAGGGGAACGGGACATTGATTTCACCGAAGATATTGGAGTACCGCTTCAAACCAAAAAGACCGAGATTCTGACTCGACTCGACTCGACTCGACTCAACTGCGCCCTTGAGCATGATGAGCTGCCTTTGATGGTAGAAACGTCACTGCAGCTCACCTACCGGTACCACCCTCATCAACTCAACTGGCATCAATCAGCAATCAACAGAGCAACATAACAGCTACCTCCGCTCCATCTGGACTGTCTGAAGTTGCTGATACTGGTACCTTGCCCAACAGCACGCTACCGGTACCACTATAGTTTCTGTTCCTAATAGCTAGCTACCGGTACAGTAGCTCGGAGAGAAGCTGATACCCATTGTCACTAGCTGGTCTTCTGGTCTTCTTCAAATGTCTACTACGGGAATCAGCCAAGATTTCTTGGAGTCTATCCTGGATGGTTCCTTTGACGCGGGTTTTCTAGTCGATGGATTGACAGGGTGTGTTGTATACGCGAATAAGCCTTCGGTGGATCTGTTTAATGCTCCCTCAGAGGATTCTCTGATGAAGGACGATGGTGCCAAGAGGACCATTGAAACTTTGGTATCGTTTTGGTCTTATTCCTTGGACCAAAACAAGACAGATGACGACGATAGTGTCAACCCGAGCGTACGAGCCGTTGACAATTCCACAGATGTAACGCCTTGGGATCAGGTTGTCAAACACGCATCTCAATCTCTTGCTGTTGCCAATTCTGGCGACAAAGAACCCCTCTTGGAGTGGAGTGTTACAGGCAAAAGGGCCGCTGCTACAGGGACGCGTGCAGCCAAGGCTGGATCACCGGACAAAAAAGTTCAGGCTTTTGCTCCTACCAAAAAGGAGTCATTCCCTGGAGCCGTCAAGCTAACTCCGACGCCCGGAAGCAATCTATGGCTTCTAGTCATCCGCCATGCAGATCATCATGATATCATCCGCTATGGGTCTCTTTCAGCAACTGGAGAGTCTAGCATTAGTCGAATTAAGCGCTCTCGACAAAAGAGTGTGAAAGGATCTAACAAAGAACCGCGCATGACAATCGATGAGAATGGGATCATCGTGGGTATTAATGATGCTGCCCTGGCGGCAAAGGCCGAAAGCTTGAAATGGGTCACCACAGATCTGATTGGAAAACATGTTTCAGAGGCACAAATTGCCCAACCACCGAGCAGTGTTCGGGACAGTCCAAATCCCAGGAGCCGAAAAATGCCTAGAATGTTGGATATGATTCTGGAAAGTGGAATGGAACCGGGCCATTCTGCCTGTCCCATGTCAGGATTCCCCCTGCGGGTCGATCCCAATGTAAGTGCCATGACTACGGGAGGCGCACAGCGAGAGGAAAACATTACGGAAGCTGCCTTCGAGGCCGCTCTTGATCCCATTTTCCAAATTGACGAACACGGCACCATACAAATGGTCAATTCTGCCGCCGTTAGCATTTTTGGCTGGTCACGACATGAATTCCTGGGCTCCAACATTAGCATGATTTGCGGGGGAGGCCATGAACAGAATCACCCGACATACATGGCACGCTACTTGGCCACGGGCGACACGCGAGTGATTGGAAAAAATCGAGAATTGGTTGCGAAACGAAAAGACAAGAGTGAATTTCCAATATTGCTCGGCGTAGTGGAGGTGGACACTTTTGCCGGTGATGTTCGCTTGTTTTGTGGATTTGTCAGAGATCTGACTGGCATCAAAGCCAAGGAACGAATGGCCCAGGAAATGGTGGAAGCTGCCTTGGATCCCATGTTCCAAATCAATCAGACCGGCACAATCTTGATGGTCAACAATGCTGCACTCGAGACATTCGGATACGAAAGAGAAGAGTTCCTTGGAAAAAATGTCAAGATGATATGCGGCGGGTCTCATGCCAACAATCACGATCTCTACCTTAAGCGGTACCTGCGAACGGGAGAAACCCGAGTCATTGGGAAGTTCCGAGAACTGGTAAGTGCATACCATTCTGAATCATAGGCCGCTGAGCATCGCAACTCTCAAACGTTGCCTGTTTCCGAATCTTCAGCCCGCAAGGCGAAAGGATGGAAGCGAATTTCCCATTCAATTGGCTGTCATTGAAATCAAAACCGGAGCAAAAGAGGAACGTTTGTTTTGTGGTTTTGTCCACAATTTGTCACGTGCAAAACGGGATCAGGAAATCATGCGAGGGACAATTGACACCTCTCTCGATCCGATATTTCACATCAATGAAAATGGAATCATTCAGATGGTCAACAACGCGGCATGTAGCCACCTAGGGTGGTCCCGAGACGAGATGATCGGTGAAAACGTTAGCTTGATTGTTGGGGGTGAACACGCAGCAAAACACGGTTTATACATCGAAAACTACTTGTCCACTGGTATAAAGCGCGCCATGGGAAAGAAGCGCAAGCTCACGGCTCGTCGGAAAGATGGGACGGAGCTCCCCATTATTTTGGGCCTCTCCGAAATTTCCATCAGCGGCGGAAAAGAGCGGATGTTTTGTGCATTTCTTACCCTAGACAAATAGTCCACGTTGACAGCAAGAAGCACATCAAAGCGGCACAAGTCAATTTGCGTACGTGTACTATAACTTTTGTAATCGTGGGTAGATAAGGACATGCATTTTGTGTACAATCGCTCCGTCCCGTAGTACTTGATTGTTTTCAATATCTTCTTCAACGGTACCGGTTCCGAACGGAGCACGGACAGCAAAACGATGGGAACACCTCCTCGCCTACCGGGCACTACTATCATAGTTTACCTGTTAATAATACATACTAATGTTGATCGCAAGCACTCCTTCGTGTTTTGTTCTATGGACCAAATGCAGGCTGTGTAAATCTAATGGCTTGGTCGAGAGTGCTGTTTGCTGTTCAAATGAAGGGTTGCCTCTCAAGGTTTCGCAGCCGTGCGCATGTGCCAAGAATCTCCTTAGCGCACTGGTTCATCATCAACCCACTGCCCATCGTGTCGCACTGTTCCATCAGCATAAGTTTCTATTCCCTTGCCGTGTGCCATGCCATTGCGCCATTCTCCACGATAACATCGGCCGTCCTCCCAGGAACATGTTCCGAATCCATTGTAGCGACCATCCTTCCAGCTACCGGTGTATTGGCCACCATCACTGAACTTGTAGCTTCCGTGCCCTTCACGTTGACCATTGGAAAATTCTCCTTCCTGTGTGGGTGGGAGTAAGCGGAGCGGGGGAGAGTTAGTTGGTAGAAGCCACATGAACAAGACAACAAGTAACTGTAGAGCCACTTACATAGATTGCACCATCGGGCCACACAAAGAGCCCCTTTCCATGCCGTCGATCTTCACTAAAGGCACCATCATAGGAGCGTCCATCCGACCAAGCATACTTGCCGTTTCCATGTCGTTGGTCAAATCGATATTCTCCTTCATAGCTATCACCATTGGCAAACTTGGCATTACCGAATCCATGCCATCGCCCATGACGCCACTCTCCTTCATAGATACGTTGATCTTCTTCGTAAATCATGCGCCCACTGCCATGAGGCATACCAGTTGACTTGAGGATGAGCCCGGTGTAAATACCCTTGTCACCGTACGGATCCAGCAGCGATTGGTTGATGACTTTCTGTCGATCCTCTCCGTAGGTCGAAGACGCCACGGTGAGCGACTGTTGATCACTGGGCATGACAAATCCGGCACCGGGTTCCATTCCATCATGGTCTTTGTCATTTGCGTTACTATTGGTGGCATTTGCATTGACCTGATCCTGGGGAATATATCGTGGTTCAAATCGATCACTACCGACGTTGCGATTTTTGGCTCGTTCCACAACAGTGGCCTTCCACGATTGTGCCTTTCCGAGGGTTCCAAGAGTAATATCTTCCTGGAGTGGCACCGTGGGAGGAGCATCATCGTCAAAGTTGATATCGATTGGAACTCCGTTCATCATAGCTGGTGGGGTTTGTTTGGAGATATTTGCAATGGGTGGGGGTGTTGACTTGTTGGTGGTGGCCTTGTTGTTTTGTGCGGCAGGGTTGTTATTGTTGTTACTTGAGGGTGGGGGCTTGGGGTTGCTGTTCTTTTTGGGAGCTTCCGCGGGTGGAGGATTTTTGGTGGGTGCTGGTTTTTTGGGTGGATTATTTTTCGCGGTGGCAACAGCAGGAAGAGGGGCCTTGTTGCCATTGACCTTGCTGCTGTCATTGGCACCAGCAGCTTTTTCCGGCGTTGGATTGCTGCTGGTTCCGTTTCTGGTGCTGATGTTGTTGACCTTGGCAGCCATGACCGTTGTTGGTGGCGGCTTTTTGTTAGGGGTGACGGGAGTCCCAATGGGAACCGTTGTGTTGGTTGCTGTGCCCGTGGCAATGGATCGATTCACAGCGGATGAGGCAACATCCTTGCTATTGGCGTTGCTTTTGGTGGTTGTGTTGTCCTTGGGGACTGCGATTGTGGGTGCCTTCATGACCTGTAGAGCGGGCAAGCTCTCTGTACTGGTACTATTGTTTTTGACGACAGCCTGAGCGGGAGGTGGAGCCATGACAGCGGCTGCAGGAGCGACGGCATTGTTGGGATTGTTGCTGGCCGCCTGAGCCGCCGTGGAGAGTTGCAGATATTTGAGTTCCTGTTCGTGTTGAATTTTCTGCTGGTTCATTTTTTCCTGCAAGAGAGCATGTTCCAATTGATTTGTGTGCAATTTCTGTTGTGCTTCTGCCAATTCTTGCCTCAACATTTGTACTTCTCGTTCCTTCTGCAGCAGCATCCAATCCTGCATTTGTTGCATGCGATTGATTTGGAGCGCGAGAGTGTCCAGGGATGTGCTCGAGGAAGCAGAGGAAGGTGGACCCGATGGACCAGGAACTCCGTTTAGAGCTGCGAGTGCGGGGGGCAGCATTCCTCCGTAACCTGCAGCCAAGCTTCCATACGGCAAAGCAGTCGTCATGGGGGAAGGTCCAGCCATATTGGCAGCTCCGTAGAGTGCTTGCTGTTGTGCTTGGACTGACATGGGTCCCATGGGAGAGTGAGCTCCTGAAGGCAGAGCTGGTTGTGTGACTTGTTGTTGCTGTTGTTGTTGTTGCTGTTGTTGAGGTGTGGGTCCATCTCCTAGTGCTTGCAAGCGGTTGTCCAAATTAGCCTTTCGTGCTTGCAATGCTTGCTGTCCTTGCTTGAATTCCTTTTCACATTCCGGACAGGTCCAACCATCCAGAGTCAGATGAGGATGCTTCACACATCCACGGCTGCCATCGGGACGTGTCATCACCATGAAGGTTCCAGAGGTAATCACCGATCCATCCTCTTGGTTGACTCCTCCAGGGCCAGCACGTCCCATCTTCATCTTGTTGGGATTTGGGTAAATACTCGATGGATGAGACTTCAAGGATAAATTACCTAAGGCGCCACTACTAGCCCCAAAGCTCTGATTGTTGATCGAGGACGACGAAGAAGAAAAACCGCTCCGCGTCCTATAATTTTTGGTGTGATCAGACGTGAAATCCAGCTGATGGAGTCCACCGCCGTTCAACGAGGACCCTACAGTCGCGCCACTGCCGGCTCTGATGCTGTGGTTAATCAAATGGTTCTTGTTGTTGGTTGTGCTGGTGGTGTTGTTGCCGCTGGTGCCGCTACTGATTCCCTTGGTTTCTGAATTTCTCGCATGCGGTGCCATTGCCGCGAGTATTTGCCGGGAGATAGTTCTTTTTGGTGCAGGCAGGCGATAGATGGACTAACTCGATTCAAAAAGTCTGAAGAGCGGCTTTGTGGGAAGCTGGCGCAACCAAAAAGGCAGATCAAGACCATAACCAGTTGTTGAGTTATTGTTGAGGCATCCGAAATCCTTCTTGGTTGCGTGGTTGACAATGGGATGGATCGTGCATAATAGCTTCTCAATGCCAACCAGTGCTCAAAACAAGAAGATGCCCGACTGCTGTGCCAAGTGCATTGGGAGCTCTGTGGAACCTTTCCACCCCAGAAGCGTCGCGCGGGAGTCCTCCTTTGAATGGTTACGAATTGCTACCGGTAGAACGAAATGGCACCAGCTAGACAGCTACATGAAGCTTGAAAAAGCATGAATAGGCAATGCAGCCATAGTTGTGTTTGATGTTATGATTTTCTCACTAGGATGTCAAGTCGCAGCTCGCTCTGGCCAGTTGTCAATTCGGCTTGCGAGTGGAGGGAGACTTCGTCGCAAGCGATTGGGAGTGCAAGGGTTGCCTCGAAACACGAGTTTTCGCTTTCCTCGTCGAGTGGCAAGGTGAGGTTCTGGAAATAGTCAAAATAGTAGGTGTGGCTGCACTTACTTGCGAGATCTTTTGTTGGGGGCGGGCGCAAGTGCGGTTCTTGTGTTGGTTGGTTGGTTTGGCTTCCTTTGAAAGACTTCGTTGAGCCGACTCCGATGGTGTCGTCTTGGCGTCCAACTAGGAGCAGGTAGCTAGTAGTCGATATCCTGGAAAGGTGCACAGATTGTTTCAACTAATAAAGTTGCTTATATAGTAACGATGTCAGTGCCATTCATTTCGAACTGAACGGGTAGCTATGGCATAACTGCACTCGTGCCTAAACAATTCACTAGAACACATAGCTCGGCCTCGGGAGAAGACAAGAATAACCCTACCGAGAGATTTCTTCGTTAATCGGTTGAGTCTCTCTCTTGTTGTTGGCTGTTTCATACATGGGCAAGCGATCCTCTCACATTGTCACGGACTCCCTCCTTCACCAAGTAAGCTGCTGATCCTCTCTCCTTGCCGTTTTACTTCGTGTCGCCGTGTGCATGCCTTTTGCCTTCGCGGATTGGGCGATCATCCTTCCATTCACCGTCATGTCGGATTGTCCCGTTGGGGCGCGTCTCGACTCCGTATCCGTTCGCGCGGCCTTCTTTCCACTCGCCTCGGTAGCTACGTCCGTCGGACCAGCGGCACTGGATAACAAGCAAGCGACAACGACAACAAATAGAAAAGAATGAGGACAGTGTCTCCCGCTTCGTAGTCCAAGAACAAAATGCGTACTTACCTCGCCAACACCATGGTATTTGCCATTCTCCCATTCTCCAGTGTAGACGGATCCGTCCGCAAACCGATACATTCCTTGACCATGGCGGTGTCCCGCCTTGAATTCGCCCTGATAAACAGCACCGTCAGGCCATGTGTATGTGCCTCTACCTTGTCTCTGGTCTTGGAAGAACTGGCCCGTGTAGACACGACCGTCATTCCACTGATACATGCCATGGCCATGCCTCTGGTCCATGTCGTAGCTTCCTTCAAAAATGTCATTGTTAGCAAATATGGCTCTGCCAACTCCGTGCCATCTGCCATGATTCCAGTGCCCTTCGTAATGACGTCCGTCGTCGTACTTCATCGTCCCTCTTCCATGAGGGCGGCGCTTCACCAAAACTCCAGTGTACAGTCCCTTGTCTCCGTAAGGGTCTCGAATTCGCTGCTCAGTCACTTCTTCCACCATGGTGATTTCTCCCAGCGGAGTGGGTGATGGTGGGCGTGTTAGACTGGAATCAGAATGACTTCCGCCTCCAACAGAAGGTGCCCCGATGCCGTCTGATGGCTTCAAGATGCGAGGAATGTTGACATTGGCAACAGGAGGAGGGGGGCTCTTACTGCGCTCGAAAGGATCGACCGAAATACGTTGTCCGCTTGGTGTTCCTGGTGGATCTGAGTTCTTGCTCTGTTCGGTACGCACGACTTCTACTGGAGGGCCATCAACCAAAACGGGCATAACTTGCTGCTGAAGCGGCTGCTCTTGGGGCTTGGGGCCAGCGTCGATCTCAAAAATGGGGACGTCTTCTTGTGCCTCGGGGACAATCGGCTGTGCCGCTGAACCTTGAATACTATTAGGGGCCCCCTTGGATTGCACCTCAGCTGCGTTGTTGTTGTTGGAAGCAACTGACTTGTTTGTCTTGCTGGCAACGGTATTATTTGTCTTGGAGGCCACGGTGTTGTTTGCCTTGGAGGCCACGGTGTTGTTCGTCTTGGATGCAACGGTGTTGTTGGCCTTGGATGCAACGGTGTTGTTTGCCTTGGTACCGACGGTGCCAGCACCTCCAAGGGTGTTGGCAATAGTGTTTGCAATGGTGTTCGCGACGGTGTTCGCGACAGTGTTGGCAACCGTACCCACAGTTGCCTTGGTGGCAACCGTTCCGGCCTTCGTGGACTTGGTTTGCCTAGACGACTTGGAAACCCTAGATTGGGAGTCAACGGCGATAAGGTCTGGTGTTGGCGGTTGCTTTTGCTGCAATTCTTCTAGCTGCATTTGCTCAATCTGCAGCTGCTCGATCTGCATTTGCTCCAATTCCTGCTGCTGAATCTGCATATGCATTATTTGTAGCTGCTGTTCTTCCATAACATGTTCCTGCTTCAACTGTGCTTCCTGTTGGTGGTCAGCAACCGACTCTGCCTTCCGAGCTGCTGCCTCGTACAAGACAGAGCCTGGAGGGGGCGAATCGCAGCGGCTTCCGGCGCTGCAGTAACTCTCATCGCCACCGGGATCAGGGAGCAACGATTCACTTGCCTTCAACGAAGCGGGTGGATCCTTCGATGGCTTGCTGGGACGAGGATCGGCAAGCGACCCGAGCTCGGCCATTTGAGCGGACTTGGAAAGAGATAGGGGGGCCACCTTAAAGTCGAACTCCATGTCATCAATGTCATCGTCGTCATCATCATCATCGGCGTCGTCTCGTTCCTCTTCGACGTCAGAGATAGGTGATGTCAGTAGCGAAGACTCGTGCTGAACTGGGGGCTTGCTCTGGGATGTAAGGTTTGCATGTCGTTCAGTGTCGGCGCTTGGAGTAGCAGAGTTACCAGTAGTGTTGGTCGTCGTTGTGATGTTGGTTACATTTGTCGTAGCAGTCATGGGCGACAGAGGAGCACAAAGCCCATCACCTCCATTCCAGGTTGTGATGGCTCGGGTTGGGGGCTTTTGCTGAATTGTAGGTTGCGGCCCATTTCTCATCTCGGCAATTTTCTGACGCAGCCTTTGGACATCGTCGCCAGAATTCTGCACCATTTTGTTGAGAATGACGTCCACTCTAGCTCGCAAGGCATCGATTTCATCCCTCCGTTCTTGCATGTTGGGGTCGAAGAGAGCGGCTCTGCCTCCTGATTGAACCGGGGTAGCCTCACTGCCAGCGTCCATTGGAGTGTGCTCAGGCTCGTCAGTGATGGCATTATCCTTGTTGTTGGAACATGGCAATAATCGAGGCCCTGTATCCGTCAGTGCGCCGCACAGGCCAAGATGAAGCGACAACGCGTTGGCGGCCATCACGTTGCTTTCCTACAAAACTAAGATGCGGATCAACTTGGGTGCTACCGAAAGCTAGCTAGCTAGCTGGCTCTGTAATACCAAATGGGCTACCAACCAATATCTCTCTCTAAGTGAGTGAAATGGCTGATGCCACAACACGGCTCCGCGGACTGCAGGGTCAGCTCATTCATTCGAATGCCATCACAGAGGCTGCCCTCAAGCTTTGTGGATGCATATCGTCGCTGAAAGCACGCAGGTCGAGGATCATTTACCGTTCAGCGATAGTGTAATTAGGAATTGGAGGCAATCTTACGTCTAAGTAAGACTAAAGCTTACTCTAAGTAACCATATTAGAAAGCAGACCGACGGCTGGGGGTTTATGGAGGTTTAGAGAAGTGTAACCGATGTTGGGGCTGGAGGAGAAGTGTACGACCGTACCGGTACCGGTCCACCTATCATATGCGTATCAGCTGGTAGCTGCATTGTTCGGCTTCGGTACGAGGTGCAACTCTGATCAAAACCTGGGGTGCTGCTTGGCGGTATTAGTACGGTAATAGAGATTGGCCTTGAATCTTTTGAATCGAATGATTCAATCATTCTAGCTAAAGATTGAATGATTCCATTACCGGTATAGTAAGAGGGGTCTAGTAGAGTAGGGCAGCTGTCTACGGGCTTCGAAATGCTCTGAGCTTGCTCTGTAGTAGTAATGAGAGGAACCACATCATACACAGAGTAGCTGGTATCATGATCAACCCCTCATTACCAAGGATCTGCCTACCGGTATGCCTTGTGGGTAGCAGATACAGGTGCCGGTTGCCATTTCTTAGATAAATCCGTGGTTGGTGTATCAGGCACACCAGTTTGCTTCGGTACGTCGTAACTAGAGCAGCTAGCTGAATTATTGCTTCATGCTACATGTACATGACGGACTGAACTAGCTACTCACCATTTCCCAATCTTTTCTCGAGTCAACTCTCTACCATACCGGTACCGGTACCACCGGTATAAATAGCTAGCTAGCTGGGCAGCGAGGGAATAAATAAAAGGGCTCGCAAGCAGTTTGTTGTGGTACCGGTACAGTATTACCAATATACAACGGTAGTCACATGGTCAAGGGTATCAGTCTTTGGGGGATTGCACTGGTTGGTGGGACCCACCTCTAGTCATAGTAGTACCGGCCACCCCTACTTAGCGCTAAGTAAGGGAATCTAGTATTGGGGAATGGAGATACCATTAAATTCCTGAGGGTAATCTGCGGGGGAAAACCAGTCATTTGAGGGTATCCGATACTACTCAATATAGCACTGTGGGTTGTATCGGCAACCCCAAAATACAACTTTTCTCCTAAGTATCTTTTGGCAATCGTGCCAAAAATACAACCTAGTCACACACATCGTTCCGCAAAACTCAAAGACTTATGGTCCCGGAACCTCTCTCTTAGTACTGAGAGAGTGTAAACAGCAGAAGATCCCCTCAATTCAACCGACGTATCCCGTGCTACTACCGTTGGGTGGAGTGCCTCCGATCGATCAGTTCGTACACTTCATTTCTCATTCTTCCTCTCCTCATAAATTTGGGTATCGAAAAAGGCGAAAGCTATGCATCACTCTCAACTCGCTATTTTGTTACACATCGCTCTTTTGTTACTCATCGCTCATTGCTATCTACTTGCGACCATGGCGAGGAAGAGGAAGTCGCTTGACCAACAATACCGGCCGGCACTCACCAGGTTTATGTCTTGGAAGCATGGCCGGCAGACACCATATGATACCAAGAGGAACTTCACACAGGTATGTTCGTTCGTTCGCCAAATCTGTCATTTCGCTGATCGATCCAACATGGTCACTGGTTTCGCTTATCGGTAACTCACAGCATGGTCACTCTTCTTCATTTTTTGTTCTTCAGGACCAGCTCCTTGCCATTACACCCACTGATGTCGCCCGGTTCATGAACTTCCTTGCCTATGGGAAGATCAACCCTGGTCCCAATGATCGTCCCACTCAAAAGAGATCTTCCACTCTTGAACAGTACAAGAAGGCCATCAGCCACTTCCATCCCAACAGGCATGCACCATGGGCGGTTGGTCCGAATGTTGGAATCCACTCGTCCACGGGTCAAGATTGATCAAAGCTGTGAAGAAGGCGGAGGTCAGGAAGCAGGGAAGGAATCCAATTCAAGCGAGATCTCAGCTTCGAGAATTCCGCAAGACAATTCGGATCCTGGAGCGTGATGAAGGTGCCAACATTGACCTCACGATCAAGACTCAAACCATGATGAAGGTTCAGTTCACATGATTGGTCGAACTGATTATCTGACGAACATGGAGAATTGGACTTCCGAAGCCACGCCAAGTTTCCAAACATCGCTCCCAAACCAAGGTATCCTGGCAAGAAGTCCAGGAGGAGCGGGATTGCCGACCAAATTTCTGGGTGCCGCTGACCTGACTTTTGCTCCTGTTGCCTGGCTATTGGATCAGACGCTTGAGAGGGACACGGTGATCCAATTTCTGTTTGGCCTTACCGTGTCGACGATGAAAAGCGTTCCTTGCCGCCATCGAGGCTCTGGACAACGCGAAGAGCTCGACGAGACCAACATCGAGACGGAGCCTGATCGAGTCAACGCCTGGTACCAACGCGCTTGAAGAAGGCCTGGAAGATCCTGAGTTTGTGGAGCTGGCCAAGCAAGTGCAGGGTAGCCTTGGTACCCACAGTCTTCGGAACTGCCTCCAACCTATGCAGCGAGTGTGGCATCACCCAAGCGAGAATGAGGCTCGTGGTGCTGGAAGGGCGAGAAGAATGGCCATATTTCATGTCTACATTGGACTGGAACAATTGCCGACCGACGCCAAGTTGCGGGAACTCTTGCTGTTGGAGGCCCCGTCAAGTACTCGATAAGATTGACAGGGTGTTGACCATGGGTCTTGGCGAGCATGTCTGTCATTCCCTTTGTGACTTCTTCGACGACCCATCCAACAACCTACCCGATGGTTGTCGGTGTGCTTTTGATCAGGGCCTGTTGCTTTGCCGGCTGCATGAACCTGGCTTGAGCATATGATGCCGGCAGCCATTCGCAACCGCATCCAGACTGAGTATGCCCAGCTTCGGACCACTTTGGATAGGATCCTGGGGCCGACTACAACCCAGTCGCCAAGATCCCTCTGACATCTACAAGGTAGCCAATGCATTGCACATTACTGAGTTGGCTCCCACGCCCAGGTCCAAGCTGGTGCTGAGCCCTTGTTGGAGGTGCTCCTGGTGGTTCAACATGGAAAGCTCAACCAATTGCTTGTCTTCAACACAGGACTCAGCAGGAATCGAGGAGGCCCAGCAGATCTTGCACAGGACATCAGCTCCTTGAGGGGCTATGTTTCGACCAACATGGCCATCGTGAACAAGAACATTGGGAGGATCAACCACTTCCAGTTGATCGCGAGGGGTGGTGGTGCTCCAAGGCTTCCGCTTCCTGGTGCGCCCGGTGGAGCTGGCGTTGGTGGTGGTACTGCGGGAGCTGGCGGCGGTGGTGCTGCTGCAGCGGGCGGAGGACTTCCCCCACCACCACCAAGTCCTGGGCGTTTGGCCCGTACTCCTGCCGCAAGGGCCCCTACACCCGCTACCCTGCCAGCCCAGCTTTCGAAGAAGCCTTTCAACCTCTACGAGCTGTGGGACGAGTGGATCAAGGGCCTGAATGGCAACAAGGCGGCTTGCGAGTTCACTGCTCGTGAGCGCGGCCGCGTCAAGGACAAGTTCTGCCGCCGCAAGCATGTGTGGGACTGTGTGATTCGGTTGATGGCCAAGGGCTTCGATTGGAGGGCAGCGGTCGACCGTATCTATGCCACCTACGGGTGGCTTACGGTCACCCAGATCATCAACAAGTTCAAGCAAGACAAGAAGAATCAGCCCACCGGCATCCACCCACGCTTGCGTTGAGCTGCCTTGGTGGTCTCCAGCCTACAGCGCGATCCTGCTGTAGGCATAGCAAAAACAAATTTTATGTGTTAAGAAATTTTAGTGTTAAGAAATTATCGGTTTCTTGTTGTGTTTTGTTATCTTGTTTGTGATCTGAGCGACTTTGCCTTTGCCGTTCGTGGACTTGGGAGTTTCGAGCGAAGTGTACTAGTAGCTACTAGCTAGTAGTAGTAGTCAGGACTTTGCGAGTTTTCGAGTTTCGAGTTTCGAGTGACTTTGCGATCTTTTGCTTGGATTAACTTCTTCTTCTTCTTCTTCGTTTTCGAGATTCCGTTGGCTTCGACATTCCCTTGGTCGATTCAAAGCAGGATTCCCTCCTTCGTTTATACCAGTATCGATGTTCCAGTGAGCGAGAATGGTCAAAACACCGCAAACATAAGGAAAGACAGGGTAACACGTAGAGCCTGGTACTCCATGTACACGGTTGTATTCCCAGTTTCATGGGGAGCAGATACCTTTACAGTACTGGTACTAGCTACAGGATGACTTTATTTGCCGCTGACAGGTGTAAAAATAGGGTTCTCGTTTTGGCCAAAAGAAATGGAAGTGATCATTTCAAACACGAATTGGTCATTTCGCGAATCCTGCATAGCAATGACTGCTTCCCACAAAGAAAAGATTGAAGAAACTAAAATGAATTTTACCACCATGGCAACAGTGTTGACCAAATGGCTATTAGCTTTACCAATACATTGTTCTAGCTGAGTCTGTCAGAGGACTAGCCCTCCAACACACTCACAGAGCCACCTCTTGAAGGGACTCAGCTATCTCCAATGTTTCCTATGGAGGATCTAGGAAAACTCAGGCTTGGATTCCATTTTGTTGTCACTCTGCTATGGATTTCTCCATGGGAAAGGTGCTGAAACCATCACTCCAAGCACTCAATCCGCACTGTAGAGTCCTGCAAATGAATGGTTGGCTTTGGATGAAGGCTGGAGCACTCATCCCAAAGTTTCAAAAGAGGATTGTCGGCTCCAAGGTGGAAAAATTGAGCAGATTTCTCATGTTTGTAGTCCGTCAAAGCAGTAGTAGAGGAGCTGCCGCTTGTTGCTTTTGCAGTAGCAGTGTCGTACGTAGGCTCGAGGCAACTCCGTGGAAGAGGAAGAGGACGTGATCCTCATGGTCGCTCCGTGAAAGAGGCTACGTGGAAGCAGGAAGAAGACCGAATTGAGCCATCGAACCGAAGGAGCTTGTTGCCAGTGCCAGTGCTAGTGCCATTGACGAGGCGTCGCTTGTTGTTCTAGTAGTAGTCGCTTGTTGTTGCCGTAGAGGCGTCGTCGTTCCGTGGAAGAGGAAGCGTCATGGTCGCTCCGTGGAAGAAGAAGTCATCAAACGAATCGATGGTCGACATCGGCCGATCGAACGATCGGACGGCTGCCGCTTCCCAGCCTAGCCAACCAAGAGGAGCCTGTCATGGTGGTGAGTAGTAGCCTTTGTTAAGAGGAGTTGCCGCTGTAGAGGAGAAGCATCATCTTGATAGAGTCAATAGAGCACTTCATAAAGTTGGATCGAAAGAATGAAAAAGAGGATACAGTACGTGTGGCTGGGAACCAGTGATGTAATCCTCTAAGTCTTTTACGAGTAAATTAAGTCTTTTAGTCCTGATGTCGTAGTTCGCATTCGAATGTCCTAGCGGGACCGTGCTTGCGTTTGTAACGATAGATCGGATTCAGCCTGTAGTAGTGCCAGGGCAGGGGTGAAGAGAAAGTTGAACGGGACCCAAGTGGCTATGAAAGCGGAGGCATAAATTTTTGTGAGGACGCTTTACCTGAGAGTCGGGCCACCTGAACATGTTTTCAATTACCAAGACAGCCTCATTTTTTCAATTCTAACGGACCCGAACGGATGGACCTCTTGCATGCATCATTCATGCAAGTATTATCTAACACCGGTAGGGTACTCTATGCCCGTTGCTTTCAATCGTCTGCGCCCAGCCTATCTACCGTAGCTAGTACCAGGGGCAACAGAGAAGAGGCGAATGCACATACATCCATCCATCTTGTTTGAATACGATTGATCTATTGAGGTTGTTGAAGGGAGATGCAGTCCACTGTGGATATATTCTCCGAGGACTTCTTTGCGGAAGATCCTTTCGGAGACGATGTCTTTCCTTACACTGAATCGTTTTCAGCGTTATCCCTAGAGCTCTTCACCGTCGAGGAGAACCTTAGTCACACCAATGAAGCCCTGTCAGTGGCAACGACTGAGAAAGAAGGCGGGTCAGTTTACACGTCTTCGACCCCCAACAGCTACCGTACATGTCAAGCCAATTTGGTGGAAAACAGCTTAGAAAACACGGACGTGGAAGGACAAGACCGCCTTCCAGGAGATAGTGATACGATCAAGGCCTTGGCGTTCTCGGTCATTCACGCCGATGATTCTGGAACCAACACGACGTGCAGGAGTACCGACTACGAGAGCACTGACCACACAACTCCCAATGCTCAATCGGCACCATCGTCTGTTGATGATCCAGACCAGCATCCACCAGGAGCCGTGCATCGGGAGTGCATGGCAGCATCTTGTGTCATCCGGACACTCACCATAAAGCATCAAGAAGAGCAAATTCGATTCCTAAGGCAAAAGCTGCAGGAATATGCCGACCTTTGTGCTCGACATAACATTGGCCAAGACCTGTTGTCCAACAACAGGGCTGTTGCTGTTCCAAGCAATGTCAACGGGAATGATGACAACGCAACTGCAAGGACCAATTACGAAGACAAAACGTACACCGATCTTTTGGGGCCGTGGGATATCCCCTTTCATGTGGAGATTCAGCAACAAAAAGGAGCAACCGCCGACACCAACAGCAACAACAATGATGACGACTATTCTGGCGTCACCTTTGCCCAGCACCCTAGCAAGACCAGAGATGCTGTCCCTAGAATACGACCTTGTCCCACTGATGACGACGATACCCTCCCCGTCATTCGACCCTTTCTCAATCGATCCAAATGGACACCCAAAACTTCTAGGCGTTCCTTGTCCCAAACATCATCAAACGGCGGAATCAATCATCCGGCAACTCCGCAGTCGAGACACTCGTCCACGAGGGCTGATTTGAGGCCGCGATGGACATCACAAGCTGGTCACTCGCCGCACTTCGATCGGGCAGCTCTACAGCTACCTTCCCTCGAAGAGACACCACCTGCCAGAGTTCATTGTATAGAGGGCGAGCAACACTCCAACAGGGAGAAGGACAAAGACCAGGTTCAGGACGAGAGTCGAGTCCGATGCATGACAGTAGTCATTGAAAGGAAATATGGCAGACAAAAAGCACTTTATTCTGGAACAATCCACCCTGAAAGTGGTTGTCCACACGGGGCGGGGACACTTCAATTTCTCAAGACTGGAGATGTTTACATCGGGGAAATTGCTTATGGAGAAATGCATGGAAAGGGGACCTATTGCTATCGCAAAGGAAACCAAATGTTTCGCGGTGATTTCGTTCGCAATACGTTTGTTGGGAGAGGAAAGGGGCAGAAAGAGGATGGCAGTCTTTTGGCACTACCGGTATGATTCATCATAGGTGTTGCGGGGAGTCTTAGCCTTCACTGGAAGTCCAACAGTACATGTACCGGTACAGCGTTGTGCTCTGTGGCGGTCATACATGAAGGTTGAAGGACGTAGACTGGAGGCAAATCCTAACGAAACATGAGACGTCTCAAAATTGACTCACAAAAGCAGTTTCGGCTTCGCCGCTTTCTGACGGCGAATCGATAGGTTAGGAATATCTCTTGCACTACGATCAATTGTTGCTTCACACTTGATATCTAAACATCACTATATTGATTGATAACCATAGAAACACCTCGTGTTGCATTTCATCTGGTCTTCTCCCGCAAGCCAGAAGGTGTCGAAGCAGCTCTCTTCGAAAAGATGTGTCGCGTCTGGCTCATCGCAACACTTCTCCCTGAGTCCGGTCACTGCTTACAGTATTCTTATGGTTCTTGAAGATTTGATTTGATTTGATTCGATTCGATTCAGCTGCTCTGCGCGGCGATTGATGAAAACAACTAGCTGGAAGGCACAAAGTGCCGTTTTGCAAGAAAGTAGAGTTGTCACCTTCGAGCTTTGATGATCATGGGCAGTCCATCATCAGGTTGATTGAGCAGTTTCACTATGGAATGAACTTGGTAGGATGGATCAACCAATTCAAACTGAAGTTTGTGGAGTAAGCAGGAGAGTATTGTGACAGATTCTCTGATGGCCAAACTGCGCCCCGCACAATTACGCGCCCCCAGGGAGAATGCCACAAAGGCATCCTGATTTGCGGGTGCAATATCCGTTGCAAGGTTGTCGTCATCATCTGGTGGTCGCTCTTCCCATTTGCTTTTGCGGGTACTGCTGGTGGCATTGCTCTCGTTGTCTGTAGGAGCTTGTTGCCACCGCACCCATCGATCCGGCCGCATCTCCAAGGGGCGAGGAAAGTTCATTTCATGTCTCTGAATCAGCCAGATGGGAACATAGCATGAAGTTCCCTTGGGAAAGGTATGCCCATGGAGTTCCATGTCCTTCTCCAATGCCCGAGCAACCAAAGTGGCAGGGGGATATAGGCGTAGCGTCTCATAAATGACAGCTTGTGTGTACGGCAGTTGCTCAGGTCCAGTAAAGTCTTTTTCAGTTCCACCAAGCACAGCGTCAATCTCTTCTAGGCAGTTTCGATAGATCTCAGGATGTTTGACCAACAAATAGATTGCATACGCTAGAGTGATACTCGTAGTGTCATATCCTGCAAAGAATAGAGTCATGGCAACATCACAGACAGCTTCCATGTCCACAGTCTCTCCAACTGTAGCGGCTTCTGACTCGGCAGCCTTCCAAATGTGATAGAGTAGATTGTTGTTCTTGTTCTGGTTGTTCTCCAGGAAATCCTTATCGTTGCTGGAAGATGTTTGCTTTTGCTGCGTCAATAATTGGTCCATTATATACGATTGGATGGCGCGGTGGTGCTCCGCATGCTTCTGGTTTGCCTTGGTGGGCAAGTAGTATTGTGATGCTGTGATATCCAGAGGCGAGCGAATTCGCCGAGAGAATTCACTAGCCAAAAACTCGAAGGATGTTGCCATGGTCGGCAATTCCAAATGTGAGCAAGCCTGAAGGTCCACCCCCAGCATTGTGGCAAAAAAAACATCTGCAGTGGCCATTTTCATCAACGGGTGAATTTCCCTTTTCATATTACTAGTATGTTTTTCTTCTTGCTTCTGGTGGATTTCCTTCAGGAGCGATTCTGCCAGAGTCTTTCCAACCGTTGTGATGATATTTTGAGACTGTTCCATCATGGCTGGCGTAAAGGACTTGTGGACGGCTGTTCGGTAGAGTTTCCATTCCTTGCCTTGCAGAGTGACCATGTTTTTCTTTCCCAGAAACTTTTGGAAATGCAAAGTGACATAACTGTGTGAAGCTTTGGTGCGACTTGCCTTTAGAATTGTCTTGGCATCGTTGCCACTTAGGACTGACAAGGCTCGTTTATTGGCAGCCCAAACAGCACAAAGTCCTGTTGTCTTGTCTGCGTAGTCTTGAAAGACATACTTGCTCCCAAGAAATCCATTTGGTTGCTCCATTCGGGGAAGGTGCCCTAGCAGCCAATGAGCACCAGGTGCTGTAGGGAGTCCAGGAAACGGCGAGGTTTCCGCCTTTTGGGCCATTTGGTTCCTTTTCACCGTGAACCAAACAATCGCCATGGAGGTTCCGACCACAGTCAAGCCCAAGAGGGCTGCAGATACCGAAAAGTCGTCCAAGGAAAATATCTCCATTTTCCCTGACTTTTTCAGATAGATTGTTCGATGGATGTTCTCAGCTTTTGATAGTAGCTTAGCCTGGGTTGCTCGACATGTTGTCTGTGCCTGTCTGTGTTGTGCATTTTTGCCAAGTGAGGCCATTGTACCAAGGATGCATCCCAAGCAAGAGCATGCACCATCGGAACTTTTAAAATAGCAATATTATTGCGGTGGATCTTTCGGATCTTTCGCCGCTCTCACCTCTCCACGAAGCAATCACTTTGCCGTTGGTTGAAAGAACCACTCACCACTACTAGTACGGTACAATAGACACAGATACAATGCCCACCAAGACTCTCAAGACTGTCGTTTTCATGGGATCTGCCAAAACGGTGGTGCCTTTCTGGGTAAGTCAACCTGTTATCGACGGTTCGTTGTTGGTGCATTACATGTACATGTATTTATTTGTTGCCTCCCGTTGTCTCCGCCTCACCATTAACCCACATGACATCACCTTTCTATGTAGGGCGGAGATGCTCGCCTCGGTGATCGTGTTGTGAGCTGGGTAAAGGAAATATTGACCTCTCGAAGCAAGGAACTGGGATCAGATACCATCAAGCACGATTTTACTGTTGTCGACCCTGTGGAAGTGTTTGGCGACGGCGGAGCTCTAGCAGAAATTAGCAACGGTGCCTTGTCTACTCCCACTTTCTTTTTGAAAGAACTTCCCCCAAAAGCTCAGGCACTCAAAGAGACCATTTGTGGTGCCGACTGCTACCTTGTTGTCAGCCCAGAATACAATCATGCGGTTCCTCCTGCTTTGGCATCGGTGATGGGCCATTTTGGTGGATCCTGTTATGCTTGCAAGCCATCTGCCATTCTCACGTATTCTCCGGGACCATTCGCTGGCATGAGAGCCGCAGTGGCCATTTGCACCATGTGTCATGAGCTAGGTTGCCTCCCCGTATCCAAACTTTGTGGTCTGCCAAATACCGAAGGCTTGTTGGACAGTGACGGCAAACCCAAGGAGGGATCCGAACGGCTGCTGAAACAATTGCCAGCCATGCTGGACCAGCTAGAGTGGATGGCCGTTGCCATGAAACGACAACGCGATGAGACAGGAGTTTGCTAATAAAAAAGATCAAGCAAAGCGTTGACTTCCCTTTTCCAAAAGGAAAGTGCTGGCAACAGCGTTCGAAGCCTAGCTAGCTAGTTAGCTAGATTCCAGAGTATACATTGGATACAGAGATAGTGTTAACTGTATTATTGTACTGTTGTTGGCCTTTTCCTTTAGAATGTTCACATGCTATGATACCGGTACATCTACCCAACGTTAGAGATGTTTGAGGCGAGAGATCGCCTGGAAGAGACGCCATGGTCTAACTTCTCTTGCTGGCTTAAAAATATAAGGATAGAGGTTGCATAAATGTTCCAGTACAGGCGAGCCGCGGGAGTGCTCCCGGAAAAATCGCTCTTTCGTCACATTTTGCGATCAATGCCATTCATCTGCTTCCATCTTTCGCCATAACCGATTGAAGTCTCAGTTCGGCAGTACGTACTCTCAATAAGCCACGCAACAACTCTCAGCCACCATGGTACAATCGATGCCCGCTCAACTTCTTAGAAGGGACGAGGAAGTCCCCTCTCGCAGTTCCAGAATGGATGTAATTGATAGCGAAAACGATCCAAGCATTGGCAACCTTTCCATCGAGGCAATCAAAATAGGCGAGGAAGACGAAGATAGCAAAATGATTCTGAGCGAGGAAAACAATGTTCAGGAAAATCAACAATGCCCTCTTCAAGAAGTCCAAAACAACACTGCGATGAACAACTCGTCCCCTGCACATGGTGTATCTTCGAGCACAGAAAAGATCTCATTGTCACTGGAACGTTGCAAAGACCCATCTGATTTTTTCGATCCCAATGAAACCAATCGCCCTACCATCAAGAGACATGCCAGACACACTTGCGTGTTCAGGCATAGTCCTCATAATCATAGCCCGGAAGATTGCCATCTATGGACTCTCAATCAAGTTGACACTGTCTCCTTGGGTTCCAACGCAAATGATGAAAATGACAACGACGGCACGATGTCAATCGAACCAGAGCTCGATGACGAAGACAATGTAATGTACTTGGAAGTTGGAACGGAACACAGTGGTGTTCTTGCCAGTCCGACAGCCTACTTCCTGGGTGTTATGAACGGCCTACCAGTTCTCCACGAAGAGAATGAAGAGGAAACGACCAACAGGAATGTGCCAAAGTGTGAAAATGCTGAGAAAAGTGAGAGCACATTCGACTCGTTTCAGCCGATAATTGAAGTCAGAAAAGAGCTTCTACCTGTCGTACGTGAAGGTGACTACGAAGAAGACATTGTGGCTTCACCCACAGGTGGCACTTCACGAAGAGCGACTAAGGAAAAGGAAGAACTGAGAAACGAAGAATCCATGTCTATGTTTCCATTCGATGAAGAAGATTACTAAAGGCTTCGGTCGCAGAGAGGTGTCCACGCAGTAGAGAGATGTTAGCGGTGCGTGTTGGGAATGCTTGGCATGTTGGCCAAACTGATTTGGAACTTGAAATACGCTTTTTCAATTACAGGTACATGTATTCGTTTTAGCTGGCAGCATTCTGTCGGAGATGGTAGAATCGGGAGGTAGATGAGAACTAGCTGGTAGTACAATTGTGGTAGTTATGAAGGTTTCTAAAGCTAAGATAGATAGACCAATGTCGCCTAGCTACATACTTCCGTGTCTAAAACTGCGAGTGAGCGACATGGGAGAAGCCCTTGTTGGCTTGAGTTCTTGCCAAAGCAGCTTGCTACTTGCTAGCGAAGGATGGCTTCTGCTGCTTGGGATAGACCTTCCATTGGTTCGTGCTGATAGCCACAAAAAGCTGCCTCCCCTTCTTCGTCCAAATACGAGCGGTACCATTCCAGACAGCGCTTCACATCCGCCGTCCCAGCTGGCTCAGCAGATGATGAATAGGCGTCCACTTCTTCCTCCTCCTCATGCCTTATAACTGGCGCGATGGTTGTTGGACAAACCACTCGCAAAGGTTGGGGCCTGACAAGGCTTCCTCCAGAGAACGAAGGAGCCACAGTAGGCAGGGGAGGCGGCGACGGCATGGAAGGAAAGACAACAGGCATAACATTGCTAGACGCACGGGCATGGTTGACCTCGAGGACATGATAATACATGGCATCATTGAGGACGTCGTTACCATTAACAACGTCCCAATGGTGATCAGGGTAGCAATCGACGAAGGTATAGCAGGTGGATTGACCATTGCCATTGGCAACATGCTCTTCGTCTTCTTCTGTAGTTGGGTCTTGGGGAGACGGCTCGATGACAACATGGTCACCCGCCTGCCATGCATCCATGGACATGCTACTGTCACTGTCTTGTTCAAGTTGGTCTTGGGAGCATTCTGAAGACTCGTCATCTTCGTCCTCGACTTCCATGAGGGTGGGAAGTCGCTGAGGTCCATAAGTGAGGGTGTCATCGTAATTGACTAAGAAGGGAACCCCAATCTGAACCACTGGAGGTGATGGATGCTGGGGTTGTGGCGCCGTCGACAGCTGGCCTTCAAAGGGTCTCAGCGGTTGAGGGATGACTACAAAGGGAGCTTGCTGAAAGAGTGGCTTGTCTGCGGGAAATTCCATCATGTTGGGGTAAAGATACCGGTACTGCATGTCATTCCTGTCATCTCCTTCTACATTCATGGATCCGAAGTGATCAAACTGATGTTGACAGTGCATTTGCCAGTCGAATACGTTGTTTGGCACTTGATTGGCCTCAAAGAAGTTATGATTGCTCATGTTGATGTAGTTGGGAGGGGTATCGTCAAGGCAGAGGGGCTGAAGCGGGGAAACAGGAGAGTGCCGAGGAGTCTCAGTGCTGCTACTCGTCTCGCTATCTGGTAGACTCATTTGCGAAGACGCTGGTGGTGGTTTGGTCAAGGGTGTGCAGGTCGACATGCCTTCACGATCTTTTGGGCAGGACGGGGTGGGTTCCAAGAGAAGCAGAGGCTCTCCCAGTGATAGAGCTGGTGCTTCTTTTGGAGGCTTATACATCAGCACTTCCCTTCGCTCCGGTGATGAAACAGAACAGTGGTTTGTCATGTCGCTATATTATGTCGCTTGTCTTGATTTTGGTGATACCATTCGATCATGCTTCCTCATAGAGAGGCCTTCAACCTGGCTATCTAGCAAGACGGCTATCATGGTATCAGGTTGCCACTCATAGCAAGCACCCTGTTTCTTCTTCGTTTTCAAGCCTCCTTCATTCCCCTCCAATTGAACAGCTGGTTCGCGGACAACCAACTTGTACAGTCATGGAAGTGCGTGAAAAAACGTTTGTGAAGGCCCCAGCAATCAGAACAAACAGACATACCGAGAAATGAGAGGTTTTGGCTTCTGCATGCTGGAGGGAAGAACACATCATTTGCTGTGGGATTGACCTTCCTAACCAAAAACGAACTCGCAGACACCCGAATCCATCGGACGCATGGACGCAAAATTGCGTACGGAGGAACATGTTTTCATGTTCCATTCCAACCTGTCAAAACTTCTTTTTTAAGGAAAAGGTGCTCCTCGGCCCAGCAACCACCAAGCCTGTTCCACTCGATGGAAAGTCTGCTCCATTGGCGGGCGAGTCTTCAAGCCATGGCAATGGCGCGGCAACCCGACTGCGCTTCTCTCTGGTGGGAGCTGGCTGGCTAACCGGCTAGCTAGATAGAGAAAGGTTCGCTTTGGTACCGTCTTACTCCTCGAAAAAGTAGCCCAAATCGCTCAACGAAAATCGACCACTGTTCTCCTCTGCGAATAAGAAGCTACTCGAGTATCTGGATAGCAGCTGGTGGACTGTGAAAAGCTGTGAAAAAGCAAATCCAGTTTGGCGTAAGCTTGGCTTGAGTCTTGAGTAGGTTTGTTGACCATCTCATCACTACGTTTAACGTACACTAGGATGAGGAATGTGGCCACGGTACCGGTAGCAGACTTGCATCAGAAGCGGTTGCCACACTGTGCGAGAGGGATTATCAAGTCGTCCCCTGTCACAATTCTATAATTCTAGCTAAAAAGATCCGATGTTCACTCCTTGCTTCAAAGTCTTCAAGTTAAAGCAGAGTTCAAGGGTGAGAAGCGGCCGCATGATTCGCCACCCCAACAGCCAATAACGGTACCAGGTACCGAGTGCCTGTGCCTGTGCTCATATCATCATCTATTGTCAGGGCCTTCACGCTCCTCTGAATCGAATCTGGCTAGCTCTAGCTAGAGAAACCAACTGGTCCGGAAACTCCGCATGGGCTTGTGGAGCAGTTCCTTTGGGTCAACTGCTAGTTGGGTTAATCTTCCACTTTGAGTTTACAAATCCAGGAAACTTCCAGATTGTGTCATTCTTCCAGATTACGTCACCTAGTATTAATTTGTACGTGGTTTTATGTAGAGCCTTCCAGATTGCGTCATTCTTCTATTTTCAGTCACTCTTCCAAAAGAAACAATTGGTATTCCCCAAACTCCAGTTTGATTTCGACGATTTTCACGTGAAAGTAATATGGTTTTGCAAGTAATTTTCACAAATTCGTGAAACCACGTTTTACGAAAACATGAAACTAAAAAAACTCTTGCATAAATGCACACATGTACACCTACCGGTACCTGGCTACCGGTAGCCTGTTTCCGGACATCCTCGCGACCTTTTCCAGTCACCCATGCTACAGTCACCCATGCTACATGTACGAAGCGACCTGTACCGGTACCGTACCGGTAGCCAACCCAAGAAAAGCAGCCACTCGACACTCGGCTGATGATGAGCAAGACATCAAGACTCGACTCGACTCTTCCTTCTGCTGGCAGGTGCTCTGATGATTCGATTCAATCATTCCATTCGATTGAATCGAATCGAATGATTCCAACTTTCTGAACAATCATTCACATCACCATTTTTCCAAGGTAGGGGGTTCACAGGGTAGCATTATCTAGCTAGCTAGCTAGGGAAGCCAGTGAGGGCCAGGCTTAAGCAAAGAAGAGTCAAAATTCTGGACTGGGTTCCATGGGATCAGGAGCCATAAATTGAGGATCATTACGGGTGCCAAAGGGTTTGGCTTTGCGGGATCCACCGAGACATGAGTCGATTTGGTAGCTTTCACAAGGGCAATAGAGATGCGGGTCTGCCTGAAGAGAGAGTATGAAAACTGAGTTTTGCTTGTTGGCTGTGACAGAAGCAAGGTGTTTAAAAAGAACTTTGGCTTGGGGGGCAAACATGCCATCCACATGAACAACAAAGGGATGGAAGGAGGTGCAATTGGATTGGCACAGGGCTGTACATCCATCACAGAGAGGAGCGGGAAGAGCTGGTGTGTGTGTGTAAGACCGTACCGGAGAAAGAGAGCTTCGCCCCATTCTTGAGCAGAGAGGTGGGTGCCTTGGGCAATGTAACATTTGCATTTCCTAGAGCAACACCAACCCCGTCTCCCAAACCAACCCCGGCCCATGTCTGGCCAATTCTTCTCCTTGTCAGCCAACTAACTCCAAGGCCAGCACAAACACCCAAATCCTGGACCAAGCATTGGCCCACATCTTCCATGCGAAATATTGAAACTACAGGCATGATAGCACCCGGCAACTCAGGAACAACCATGAAAGTAACACCAGGTCCACTCGAGTACAGCAGACTCAACCATCCCACAAGACCTAGCGACACCCACTGGATATTTCCTCTCATTGCCCATTACCGCCCATCTTGGCTAGAACAATAGGCCCAAGCAACGCATCAGCCACCACTCAGGGACCGACCAAAAGATACGCGACATAAAGCAACACCCGCTTGGGGTCCACTGGTCAAACTGAGGTCGTGCTGACAACGGGCTACGCGCCACATGCTGGGTGCTGCTTCTCTAGCTAGGTAGTCGTCGGTCAGAGTTTGTTTGTATCACCCGTTTTAGCTTAGTCGCAAGCAAGCTCTCTATCCTATATAAATTCTGAACCCCCGCTGCTGTAGCTCTCATCCATGTCTTCCTCCATCACGGGCAGCAAGTTTCCGGCGCAAAGCGCAGCGACCTCGTGTTCTTGGTCTTCGAATTGTTCTTCACTCTCACTAAAGTCTTCGCCGTCACATTCGGGGACGGTCAAGAGTTCGCTCGCGGCCCCCAGCAACATGGATCCTCCGACGTGCTCAAAGGTCATTTCCTCGTAAAAGATCTCGAGTTCATCGTACACGCGTGCGGGTTGGGGCTCTACTTGAATGTCTCCATACGCGGGCTCTTGGGGGCAGTACGATGCCATGAAGGACTCTAGTGCTTCTTGTCCATCGGCTGCTGCTGGAGGTTCTTCGTCGTAGATGCCAAAGTCCTCCCCCGATTCGTCGCCCCCATAGTAATCATCATCATCGTCGTAATCGCCATCGTCAAAGTCATCGTAGCCCTCATCGTCGTCGGTGGAGCAATATGACCTTTGATCTTCGTGCATTTCGTAGTCTTGGACAACTCCTAGAAGCGATTCCATGACTCTGTGCTGAGAATCATGCATCGAGTCGGCAATATCTTGCTCTTCCGTGTGTTCCTCCGATGGATCTTCGGAGTGTTCTTCCTCTACTACAGCAGTAGCTGGGTCGTTGTCTGTCTCGTCCAAGACCGGAAGGGAAATCTCGTGCAGCGGCGAGGCAGCAGCAACGTCCTGAGAAGGTACGTACACATGAGCCCCTTCTCCGGGACGTTCCTCCGTGACGGTCCTTCCCGACTTGGTGCGCTTGAATAACGTACGAAGACGCCCCGTGAATCCCTTGGGTTCTGGCTCTGGTTGCTTTTGTTGTTGTTTCTCTTGTGGTGGTTGCGGTTGATTATTTTGCTGCTGCTGCTGTTCCATGCTGCCGTCCAAGTAAAAGTCATTGTCCGCAGCAGATGCCAAACTGGTCCTTGACGTGGCGCTGGTCCGTGCAGTGTGGGTGGAAGCCGTATGAAGAGGCTTGGATACCGTTACGGGTGAATCCGAGGATGACGTTGTGGAACGGCTGCTTGTGGAGACGCTGAGTCCGCACAAGTCGGGCATGGACGCGTTGTTGTGATCCATGTAGGTTGAAGATGATGGCGTAGGTCCACCAAGCTTGTTCATACTCATGCTCATGGCAACATCCGGATCGAGGTTCTGGAACACTACCTTGCCGTGATTTCCATCAGTGAGTACCAAGACTGGTTCCAACTCTTCTTGTTCCGCCTCGTGTGATTGTGCTTGTTGTTGCTGCTGTTGCTGCTCCTTCTTGTTCTCAGCTGCAGCAATACTGCGTTCACTTCTGTACGATGCTGCTCGCCGAAGAAGCCCACGAAGACCTCCTTGCTTGGGTTTCTCCACTTCGGGAGCTTGTTCTGGCTGCTTGGAGGTTTCCACTGCTGCTGCTGCTGACTCTTGCGGTGGCTCGATCTGCGACAGGAAGCTCGCCACGCCCGAAGGACCATCGTCCTGATCATCGGCTTCGTCGCGGGAGCTGCTGCGACCGTTTCGGCTATTGCTGCTGGTATCCATGCTACCACGCAGTGACTTGGCTCTTTTGACGAATCCGCGAACAATCCGTCCACTGCCACTGTTGTTGCTACCGTCGAGTGACGACTGCTGACTGGCATCATTCATGACGGTTCCTCCGCGCTGAGAAGCACGGCGGATCAACGCTCCGAACCCGGACGACATTTTCGACGATTTCGGCGCTGTGGTTGTAGCGCTGTTGTCAATGGACCTTCGTCGCTGGATGGGGGGATGCTGAACTGCGGCGACCATTTTGATTCTTGCTGAGATGCCGGTACCGGTACTGTGTCTTGCCGTTGTATGGTCAACCCGTCGTCAAGCAATTAATTTAATGCGCAGCTCCAGCGATCAGGATCGAATGATGAATCGAATCAGCGGGTGGGGGGAAGCCTGCATTCAGCAGTGGTGGTACAGACCGTACGACTTCTGCTGCCAGTTGATGAGCCGATGAGCCCATTGAGAAAGAAGGTTAGTTAGACACAATCTTGGACGAGGGCGTTCCTGAGATGCCTGGTAATGGTGGGTTTATAATGCGTCTTGATCCTGATTATGCCATTCCTGCTTGCAGTGGTGACTATGAAAAGTGAGTAGAACAATCACATTAAAAAAGGCATCCTCAAAAGGGTTCAAGATCAACATGTCCATTCTCTGTTCTATGGTCATTATCAGACTTAATCAGTGGCATTAGTGCCTTCTGGACAGTCTTTTTCGTGTAAAATGCATGCATGAAATCATGAAAATTAATGGACATCGATAACGACAAGAAAGACCAGCAGTACCGTACTGTAGGCACGGGTACCGCTGTCGGAAGACCGCTTTGGAAGGGAAGTTGCGGTAAAGATATGGTAATCATACACTCCAACCTCATCAATAAGATAACTCTATTCTTAGTCCAGTACTGGAGGTATCTTAACCTATTCAGCTACAGCAACACTGAGTTATTATCTTACAAGCAGCCCAATCTCAGTATCTTTCATATCTTATGGCCACTACCTGGTAGAAGCTGTTATTACATACCCTACTACTAACCATGCCCTGAGACAGTGAGGAGCCACCACCAAAGCTCAAAAAGGCAAAGGTGCAAAGCTAAAATTGATGAAACCAAAGATTTCGTGGTCGGGAGGCACCCTAAGATGCGGATTTGGAGTACTTGGATGTAGATGGTGATGTGGTAGATAGTGGGTACTAGCTGCATTCAATCCCCGCATAGTCTTAGTATTAGCTTAGGATTTGAGACTCAGTACTCGTAGCTTATCTTACTGGTTTGGGAAATCTGAGTGTCCGGGTTATCTAAACATTTCTAAAAAGTTGAGTACTGGGTATCTTAAACCCACTTATCTTAAGTGTGAGTTAGGAGTGTAATAATAATAGTCTAGAATCAAAACATAAGAACATGTTTTACCGCATCTACCTAATTTGAAGAGATACGGGCGGTGGGCAGCTGTAAGGGCAGAGCTTCTGTGGGCATCCGAAATTGGTGCCTTCTGGACTTCAAACTCAATCCTTGAGATTATGGGGGGGTTAGGCAGCAGCGCGGGGGAGGGAAAAAGAAAAAAAAGAAGAAAAGGGTGAGGGTTACATTCCAGATTCCGAATCGACAGCAAAGATCCAGTCATCGAATGACATGAAATGACACGAAATACATATAGTAAACATATTGAAAGAGGGGAAAAGGCAGTCATTGTATGTTTACTCTAACAAAGAGGTCATCTCCCCCTTCAATCAAGCGGGCAAAGTCTGTTCTTCAGACATTGACACATCACTAAATGCGTCACTGGCTGTCGGCTGGTCTCACATTGTTCCCACAACGGAATTCAAATCATTCCAACTGATCCCTTTCCTTCGCTCGAACCAAACCCTCCCACTCCAACTTGACTGTCAGCGGCCGAGAAAAGAAAACCTTCCCAAGCTGGTGTGATTTCAATGAGGATGGCTTTCTGTTCTGAACCAGAGACGGTCGGGTTGACTGAGGATAATCCTACGGATCGATTCGCCTGTCGCACTTGTAGAGAGGGATCCAACGCTTTGGCCGTACGACTTGTAGAGAGGGATCCAACGCTTCGGTCGTGGTGAACCAAGGAACTCCTCCTCGAATAACACTAGTCAATATTCATTATTTCGATACCTTTACTCTATCGTTACTCTATCAAGATGGTGTTGTCTACACCAGCGGCTACTCCTCTATTCGACCACCATGAGAGGCTCTCCACCGCTACTACTACTCTACTGATACCACTACCGACCGACTACCACTACTGCTGCGCTATTTTGTCTTGAAGTCAGTGCCTACTTCGGTAGGGGCAAGGCTCTTGGCAACAACATATAGCTAGCATTATGGTGAAGTACTCATCATCAACAACAGTTTCCACGGAGGTCAAATATTCATTATTTCGATACCTTTACTCTCCTCCTCCTTTTTCATGGCTGCTACTACTCCACCATGACAGGCTGGAAGCCGATGGATCCACAACAACAACAACTAGCCTTCCTCCGTTCGTGCGACTGACAGAGATCGACAACTCGACGGATCGATTCGCTATTCAAGAGAATTCAAATGTCCTCTTCCTCTTGTTACTGTATTCTTAATACAGAGAACGTGGTGTGCTCTCTTTGGAACACGCAGGCCCAAGTGTCTCGCCCTACAGACTCTACACTTCTTCAATGGATCAAAGATTTCTGCTTCCTCTCCATGCATTGTTGTTTGGGCTCCTTCTTCTCTGGCTCTCTTCGATCTGTTGTTGTTGTTGTTGTTGTTGTTGTTGTTGTTGTTGGCCATTTGATATGCTCTCTTCTGCTGGGAATTCCTATTCTGACTTTGGCAGCCCATGTCTTCTTCATTTTGTGTTGTTGCTGCTGCTGTTGGTGTGCTGTTGGTGTGCTGTTGCTGCTGCTGTTGGTGGCTCCATGACTGTCCAGTGGCATTGTCATTGTCGATCGATCGACAACGGAATCCTTCTTTCGCGAAAACCGAAAGAAGAAATCCGCCATTTGGTAGCACATTGTATCCGTAACATCTATAAATGGTACGTTAAGTATATTTGATGGTACGTTAAGTATATTTGAATCTTTCCTGACGCATTTGCTGATGTCATAGGTTGATTAACCAATCAGATCACTGCCTTCTACCGCTTTCGCCCTATCCTTAACCAACCGTGGCTGATTTGGTGATTGAGAATCTCGCACCCTTCTACTAGTAGCCTTCGTGGGATGAAGGAGACGCTTTCCTGAATCGCTTGAAGAGATTTGCAATGAGAATTGAGGGGACGTGTACAAGGCTGCCCTTTGCTTGTGGCTGGCATCATCATCATCTCAACGACGACAAGCTTGCCGGTTGAGTAACGGAACCGTCACGTAGACCATTGTCCCTGTTTTATCCTTCATGATATCAAAAAAACGTATGTCGCCTCCAAGCTCTGTGTGTTCTGGCAAAGCAGCCATGAGGGCTTCTCCCGCGGCCCAGATACAGTACGATGTAAGCTCGGTCAGAGAGACCTAAAAGAGCTTCCATGCCAGAGAGGTCTGGCCAAGAACCGCCGTGATTGTCGGTTCAGCTCTTCCGGCTTAATTGACACATCCCGATGCGAGCTCGCAATGAGAAGGAAGAGGCGACAATCCGAACCTTTCAAAAATCTTTGGTTTGCGTTCGATGCATGGTGCCAAGCATAATCTAACTGAAAGCCATGGCGTCCTCATCATCTTCGAGTAGTTCAGCGTTGTTTCGGTTTGCGATCAAATGGATCTTGCTGCCGTATGGTATTGGTTGGCTGCTGTCTCAGTATGCGTCAGCCGAAGTGACGGAGAGAGTTGTGTCCAGCCTCTTGGGCGAAACCACAACTCGCAACAGACGAGCCACAGTCGAGAATGTGAGCAGTGTGGCTACCGATGGTGCCATGGGCCAACGAGACTTTGTGGAAGAGTCACTAGGAGGAGGTGGGGATCTCTGCTGGCAGCGTTTCATGGGGTCATTGGAGGAGAGCGTGGCCCAGAGTGTCGAAGAATTGCTCCAAGCAGAAGAACAAGGTGGAGTGAAGTTGGTGTTGCATCGCAACGGTGATGTAGAAGGATGTGGCAGTTCTTTGAACTTCATGACAGAGCTGCGCATATATCTCAATCGATTGGGAGATAGTCTCTGTCCAGTGGCCTTCAGCAAGTACCAAGTTGAGAGTATTCTGACAAGTGTGTTTCATCAGTCCATGGGAGCTTCTTGCATTTCTCAAGAATCAGACAGAAGTGAATGGGAGGGTTTCCTGGGATACTGCGACATGGGAGAAGACAAAACTCCCATTCTACTGGATCACAAACAGCTGGTGCCTGTTGCCATGGATGTCATCAGTGATGGCCGGTCAGAAACCAGGACTTATCTACCATGCCACTTCCATTCCAGAGAAGGAGTCAGGCTCACATCCTTTGAAAAGATCGTACAACGCATTGTACAAGAATATCAGAAACAAACAGAGAACCAACTTCCCCAATGCCTAGAGGTCAAGGACAATCAACAGCAAACATGCAACGCCAAGGTGGAAAAACAAGTTGACCTCTATGCAGTTCCGGCTGGACGAGTGTTTATGTTTGCACCTGCCTATGTGGGAGAAGTTTTTGATCTGCCGCATATTCAAGGAGCTGATCCCAGTTTGCCTGTTTACATGAAAGTACTCTCTGTCTCTCCACGGATGTTTGACATTTTCAACTACTTTACCAAGGAAGAATCAGCTGAGTTGGTTGAAAGGGCATTGCGAGAGAAATCGGACACTCACCGCATCAAACGATCCTCCACTGGTGCTTCTGGATATAACATCAATCAAAGGAGAACCTCTGGTATGTATCCTTTTGTTGAGTTGATGTGAGAAGGAACCACCAATATCTCAAATGATCTCATTCCCGTGTCCACCCACCAACCCAAAGAGAATGGTTTTGACACTCATGGAAGGATTGCTCAAGCTGTCAAGAGGTGAGAATAGCAGTTGGGACATGTTTGGGTATGGTGTTGATGCTCTGCCTTCATTTCTCAATGAATGCAACTACCTCCCTTCTCAGGCGATGCTTTTCAGTTTTGGGTTTTGATGAATACATTGAAGGACACTCTGATGGCCTACAAATTCTTCGGTATAACACAACGAAGGCATACACTGCACACATGGACTGGATTGATGACGATGGAAAACAAGGTTAGCACTGCCTCTGGTCTGAACAGCATACTGGTGAATCCATTTAAAATCTGTCACCTCACGGTTTCTTCTCCACGTTATTCTTTGTCCAGACCATGACTACAACTCAGCAGGAAAAGGAGGCAATCGATATGCAACCATTCTGCTGTACATGACAGATCTAAAAGATGGTGATGGTGGTGAAACAGCATTTGTTAATGCAATGCCAGCAAGTGAGAATGCCCCCTCTTACAATGAGGCACTCACAGAACTCCGGTCGTCTCAACAGGCTACACTCTTCAAGAAAAACTCATGGGAAGAAAAAATGGTTGCCCGATGTCGTTCTAGTCTGGCAGTCCAGCCCAATTCTGCCAGAGCAGTTTTGTTCTATTCCCAGCACCCCAATGGGGAACCTGATAAAGCATCCCTCCATGGAGGATGCCCAGTTGTTTCATCCACACCCAAATGGGCTGCCAACCTTTGGGTCTGGAATACTCCGGTATGTTGCTTCTGCTTATCATGATCAATATTACTGGGTTGATTGGTTTCAATCATTTGATTTTCTCATCTCCGCCTTCCATTGAATCATGAAATCTACAGCGAGCTGGATTTGCAGGTGCCCCCATGAATGAAAAGCGCTTGGCTGAGAAGAGAGACAAGGGTGAAGTACCAACAGTACCTTCTGATGTTCCTCCCAAGAAACATGTGACATTTCAAAACAGTGGAAGCGACCCTACATTTGAAAATGCAGAGCTATACTATGAGGATCAATACTGGGGGAGACTTGGTGATGGAGATGCTCCCCATGCTGTCAACTCCTATGAAGGACAAGTTTGGTATATCTTGGTTGATGGTGCCATCAAAAAGACGTTTTCTGTCAACAAAGAGCCAGTGCAGGTTTATACAATCTAGTAGGTACATGTATTTGTTTAGAGCCAAGTGAAATAAAGGAATTTGGAAGTACTTCCACAGTGCATGTACAGTGGCTAGTAGGTCGCTAATCAACAGCAGAGCTGCATGATACGACTGTATGGCGCCACACAGCACACCTGACAGGCATGTGCACAAGAAACGAAGGTACCCATACAAGATGAACATCGAACTCAATGCCAGCCCATCGAGCTTCTGGATGCTCAAACGAGCCCTCTGCCGGTTTGTGGCCTCCAAAAAGTGACAACCAGGGTAAAGGGTGTCAACCTTCTGATCCATCCAGCGAGGAAAATGACAACTGCATGCTATCTAGATGATGAATGAAGACCCCCAGCGCTCAATGCCCAGTGAGTGGGGAGCTCAGTAGGGGGGCTCGTGAAGTCTGCGAGGGACGTTCGCTCTGATTAGCATCTCTGATGGCTTACTTCTCATGAGGTCGACCAACCATCAACCAAAGGAGTACTAGTACTTCCGAGGTGGGTCCATGGGATCCTCGTCTCCTTTCCCCAGTCACCGTTGCCGATGAATCTGAGGCTGTCTTGTCTATTGGTGTCGTTGGTTTTACGATATATAGATGGATTCTCCCTCTTGAAAACTGGCACGTCTCACACGACAGTAAACCCCCTTCCATCCGACATAAGCACTGTTTTTGTTGGTGGTCTCAAAAAACCATTGAATCAGGAAGCATTGCGTCAAAGCTTGGAGAGGGACTATGGAAAAGTGTCCCAGATAACGGTGGTAAAAGAGGATTCCTCAAACCCGTACGCTTTTGTTACCTTTGATCGCTGCGAAGACGCTCAAACCGCCATTGAACACCGCACGAACACCCCATTGTTGTATCAAAACATCAAACCTTCCACCGGCAACAATAATCATGATGATGGAACGGAAAACTCCAAGCTTCAAAAGAAACTTGGCCCAGGTGGAGTGGAGAAGGCTCGTGAATTTGAGCGCCGTCTAGCCTTGGCACGTTCGACGACGGTTGTACTACAAGTTCACCGATCACACGACGAGAGAATTTGTGAGTTCCTTGCAGATACGGGCGGTCCTGACACTGCAGCATTGCCTCCCAGTGTTGCTCCTACGAATCTATCAGTCCAAATAGTCCGCGATCCATCCTCTGCTGTGTCACTTTTGCTGCTGGAGGGCATATCCATCCATCAAATTGTGGATTGGCTCGATTACAAGCTGTCGTTTCCCCTGACAGGCCTGAATAAGGTATACTCGGTGGACCCCGATTGCGTCCTAAGTGGTGGGGTCTCGGATATCCTCCAGCATTGGACAAACATAGTCCTCAATCTGGTAAACGCGAGCGACCAGGACACTGACGACAAAGAGCCCATCTTGCGCATGGAAGTTTTCCCTCCGACACTACAGACCGAAGTTTTAGCCGAGCTCCAAAGAGATGCTGCTCGAAACGCCAAAAAGTACAGCTCTTTGTGCTCCAGGTTGTCACCAACACAATATACGCATTCTCTAACAGCTGTGCAGCTGTGGAGCCGTGATGATTGCGTCGACGGACGGGGTGGACTTTATTTGACAGGGTTGTCCGAAAAGAGTGATTCTAGAACGGACCAACAACGGAAACGTGACAGTGGCAATCCCATGCAAGCAGTTGACCATGAAATCTGCAGAGCCTATTACAAGTTGCAAGAAGCTTTCTATCGATATAGCCGCAAGTATTTGCTCCCAACAGGCAGCGGGAAGATTGCAATTGACTGCGGTGCAGCACCTGGAGGATGGACACAGTACTTGTTGGACAACGATTCCCACTCCACTTTGTCCTGCTCCAAAATCTACAGCATTGATCCAGGGAGGCTGGATCCTAGTCTTCTCTCACATCCAGCAGTGAGGCACTTACCCATTAAAGTGGAAGACGCGCTCTCATTGATGGAGTTGCCTCGTAGTGGCGTTGACATTTGGGTTTCAGACATGTGCTTGCATCAGATCGAACATCAAGTGGACATCCTACTGGACGCCATTGATCTTGGAGTCGTTCGGTCCGATACATTTTTCGTCATTACGCTGAAATGCAACAAGGGCCATTCAAAGTCGTCATTTGATCGGCAAGTTGCCGAGCAAATATTACGCCTCAAAAGCTGTACCAGAGACTTGCTAGTAATACACCTCTTGTCCAATCGTAGCGGAGAACGTACAGTGATGGGATATGTCGGTTAATTAATAGAGAGCTGCGTTGGATTCTTTGGGCGATGCGAGCAGAGTGGGTACATAGTGTGGACCAGGAGAGTAGCATGATGTGTGAGGTGGTGTTGGCCTGCTGTGAGTACCGATTGGGAGTCTCCGTTGGACGTATGCATAAACTTCACGTACGATGCTTAGATGTACTAGCAGTGGAAGTCTCTGTTGGGTCCATTGATGGACAAAGGACACGAGCTCTGGAAAGAGAGATGGTGGGGAAGCAACCGACAGAACAGAGGTGTGTTTCTTAAACTACCGGTTCCGCAAAGACAATCAAACCGACCAGTTTATAGGTGCTTGTCTAATAGTTTGTTGCTGATTCTATCTGCTTGTTGTCTTTCGATCGGCTTTTCCTGTCTGTGGCTGGCTGTCTTCGCCGCTGGTTACGACGGCAACAAAACAAGGCGACGCCACCTGCGCTGCTCACTCTAGCTTTTTTCGGGGCATTCCGCTTTCGGTTCAACCGGATCTGCGTCGCCGCTGGGACCATCGTTCAAGTCTACCGAGTCGACATCGTCATCCTGTGTTTTGGTGTCTTTGTCATCGGCTGCATGATGAACGTCGCATATGGCTTTGCCAACGTAATCTCCATCTCGAAAGATTCCTTCTCGGACGCCGTCCGGCTTGGACAAAACGCCCCGCCCATGCCAACGGCCTTGCTCCCATGATCCTTCATAATAGCCACCGGGAAATTCAATTCGGCCGTGTCCGTCTTTCTCTCCATTTGTGAAGTTTCCTTCATATCGTTCTCCGTGAGGGTAACTGAAGATGCCGTGGCCGTTTCTCAGATCATTGCGGTAATGTCCCTTAAAGACTCTTCCGTCGGCCCATTTGTACGTTCCTGGACCATGTCGCACATTGTTCTTGTATTCTCCTTCGTGGAAATCTCCTTGTTCCACGAAAAGGCATCGTCCGTGTCCATCTTTCATTCCGTTCTTCCAGAATCCCTCGTGGATGCGTCGGCCATCTAGATACACCATGCGTCCAACACCATGTGGTTTGTTGGTTCCAAACAAAACGAGGCCTGTGTATTGTCCAGTATTTCCTTCTGCATCGACGACTTCTCGGTCGACTACGGCTTCACATTCGGGTTGGCGTGGTCCGCCCCTGGACGAAGTGGATTCCTGATCAGAAGGGCGTCCCATGACGGCTTGATACTGTTGTTCTTGAGCTTCAAGTTTGGCAGCCTTTCGCTTGGCTTCGGGTTCGGGATCCCCATTGATCCAGTTTCCCTCGTAGACAACAGTACCATCCGGAGCGGTTTCCTTTCCCTGTCCGTGGGCCAATCCTCGTTCAAAGCCTCCCGTGTAGGTTGTTTTGCCGCCAGCCTTGTTTTTGCTGTTTTTGGCGGCGCTGATGAGTGTTCCTTGTCCATGATAGAGTCCTTCCTTCCACCCCCCATCGTACACCGCACCGTCGGAGAAAACGAAGCGACCCTGGCCCTCGCGTCGACCCTTCACGAAGCTTCCTTCGTACCAATCAGCATTTTGGTTCTGTCCGTAAACGAATTTCCCAAAACCATGTCGCATGTCATCTTGGAATTCGCCCTACGGAACACCCAAGAGAACGTGAGAAAGCAGATGAGGAAGAAAGGGAGGGTGAGTTGGCTGAAAATGATAAAAACTACAATCAAACATATAAATTAAATGTACCCACCTTGTAATGTCGACCATCATGCCACTTGTAGGTTCCCTGCCCGTGTCGCTTTCCTTGCACATATTCTCCGTCATAACCATCGCCGTTCTTCCATCGCAAGCGTCCTCGTCCGTGGTACTGTCCCATGTCAAAGCATCCTTCGTATTCTTCCAGCAGATCATCTTGATGGGGACTTTTTTGGTATTTGCCATAGGTGAGTGTTCCACTTCCGTGTGGCAATCCCGTGGCAACGTGGAGGATGCCACGATACGTTCCTTGCAGGCCATTGGCGTCGCGGACATTGACTTGATTTTGCACCACGAGCAATTCTGGTTGTTTTGGGGGTTCTTCTTCCTCTTCTTCCGAGTCGGGGAGGGGATTGCCATTGCGATCCAGAGGAGTTCCATTTTTCCATTCTCCATCGTGCCGAATGGTTCCGTCTGGATTAACTTCGACTCCATGTCCATGAGCCTGTCCCTTGACGAAATTCCCTCGGTAGATGCGTTTGGGTAGATCGGTGGAAATTCCTTTGTTGGTCTGGTTGTCTTTTTCGTCTTCAGTGAGAATGGTCGACGTCAAAACCCCGTATCCATGATAGGATCCCTGTTTCCAATCGCCCATGAAACTAATGCCTTCGGTAGGCTCCAAGTACTTGCCATATCCCTGTCGCACACCATGATGATATTCTCCGCTGTAGACGGCTCCACAAGGCCACGTGTAGGTTCCTTGCCCATGTCGATTATCGCGACAGAAACTGCCAGCATACGTTCGCCCATCTTTCCACTGATACGTTCCCGATCCATGTCGCGTGCCATGCTGATGTTCTCCGGCATACGTATCGCCATTGACCATGGTGGCTTGTCCTTGACCGTGCCAAGCGCCGCGTTGCCAGTGGCCCGTGTAGGTGGCGACGGGGGAAGTGGGCTGGTTATTATTGTTGTTGCTGGCGTTGTCAGTATTGCTATCAACTTTGTATTCCATGGTTCCGTGTCCGTCTGGCATCATTAATTCTTGCTTGTCATTGTCATTGTCATTGTCATTGTCTGGAATAGTATTATCTTGAATTTTCTGAATGAGGATAACTCGTCCGGTGTAGACACCTTGTCGGCCCTTGTGATCCATGAGAGTAACTTGCTTGCGTTCGACCACTGATTCTTGCACTTGACCCACTGCAGCAGCAGCAGAGTCCGCATTTTTGGTCTTGTCCTCGTCGCCGTGTTCCGATTCCTTGGCTTCCTCATCGGCTTCTGGAGCAGTGGCACTTTCTTCTTCTGTACTGACCGTGTTGGCATCGTCTTCATCTTCCTTTCCCTCCGATACTATTGCTGGGGATGGAGGCGGGTTATTGGCAGCTTCATCATCAGGGGTGTCTGTCGCCTCGGCATTGCTGGGTTCTTGTTCTGCTGGATTCACCGCGGGAGTTGGCTTTGAATCTGCTTCGTTCGGCAAGGGAGCCCAAGAACCCATGGGCATGTCTTCTGCAATATCCACCATCGTCTCCTAAATTGTCAATGTGATGTTGGATTGTTGGATTTGTTTCCGCAGGGAAGGGAGGTGCTTGTGATGCCACCTTCTCCGCTCTGAGACAATGCCTGAATTTTGATGGCTTGGCCGTTGCTTTTGCTTTGGGGTGGGTGTTCGAGTGAGGAAAGATCCAGTGCCGAGTGTCGCGCAAAAGTTTTGCACGACTGCGAAATGCCCAAATAATGTGTCCTCAAGAATAGAGATACCTGTGCAAAGAGAAGAAGCTAGATCTAGCTAGCTAGCCAGTGCTGGCAACCGAACTGAGTGCTCTAATTGCTTTATTTCTAGGACGATCTATTGAATCTTTGACGCAAACAAGACCTGGTCAAATCTGGGGTGGCATCAAGTCTCTTGAACGATACGGTCCTCATGGAACTGGTTCCGAGTGCGTTTTGTCCACCCCGCAAAAGCTCCCCGTGACCATCCACTTGAGATGCCCTCAGTTTCTTGACGTCTGCCTCGGAATGGGTCAACTAACTTGTGGAAACCAGTCAAAACAAAGAACCGAAATGGCAAATGACGTGGGAGCTGCCGATCGAAGTTGATTGATTGTTGGTTGGTATACAGGCAGTTAGTTAGGGAATGGAAGGAGTATTCGTATGTCAGGGGGAAAATGATGGCTAAAGTGCCACCCAGCACAACAGAAATGATTTGCATGGAGGCCAACAGTGAGGAGAGACGCCAAACCCATCCCATCGCAACAAGGAGGCCCCCGATCTTCGCCAAAATCACAACCGAGTGGCTCGGTCCTTCCCACCAAAGAGGAAGACCAAGAACAAATTAATGAGTAGCTCCTCGAGACCAAGGCAGTCCCTCCAGAAGCAGAAACAACTAGCATCATCACCCCTACAATACACAAGTGCTTCTCGGGGATTTTGCAACTAATCATCGACAAGGAACAGCCTCTCTTTGCTGGATTGCGTGAAACATGAAACAACAACTTGCATCATCAAGGGAAGAAAACTATAGCCTTGTGAAATATGCATTGAGATCAACCTGACTTCTCAGTACTTTTATCTGGAAGGATAACAACATATGGCGAGTATCGTCGCTACCTAGACTAGCTAGAATGGATCAATTTGATGGAATGCCAAAGCCTGCAGAAACCGCTCTTGTACCAGAGCGCTGACTTTTGCCTAGCTAGAACGATGGAATATTTGAATCATTGTTTTGACGTGATTTTTGTTTGGGGCGACAAGGCCTGCTGAAAAAACATAATCCATTTGGGGAGAGGGGAGAATCTTCATTGCACAACGCAAGACGCGGCCACCAGAACTTACAGCGAAGCGGGCAAAGCTTCAATTGTTGCTGTACTCTCTCTAGTACCGATAGCTACTGATAGCCAGCTAGCTTCACATCAGCTCCTCAACCCCCAGCACCTCCTCTATCATGCACAAGTGCGCATAAAGTACGTTCCAGTACCTGGGGATGCCTGAAAAGATCTTGGGAGAGCTTCAGGAGACGAGGAGCGTGTGAATGATTCAATGATTCGATCGAATCATTGTTTCCTCATTTAAACGTTTGCTGGCTGGTCACGAGGCTCCATCGAAACTGAATTGTAGCTAAGTGATGTCTCTGTTTTGCCCAAACAGCCCGTGGTTCTGGAGACCAAACTACTTGTAGCTCTGCTAGAGCCCTTGTAGCTCTGCTACTACTCTAGCTAGATAGATAGCACCCAAAGAGGCGACGTCTCCCAATGACCAGGCTGGTTGGACACCCATCAGAGAAACCGTATTCGAATGCATCGTTCTGTAGTTCGATTGGAATTCGGTTCGATCATCACGCTGACGTTCACAACTACAACTCGCAGTGACTTCATAATGACGTGGCCCGTGTGACCAGGATCGATATCCCCACACCGATCTCATTTTTTTCTTCGTTTCTTGTTGTCTTGGAAGCACGTTGTTGTCCAGCATTGACGATACAACAAAATAATCAAGATGAAAGTGAAGTTCTTGAATGGGGTGTTGGCCTTGGCCTGTTGCGTGGTTCCTGTGGTGGGCGCGGATTCAATTCGAGGAGGTAGCACTCGAGCTGCCGCCAAGCCTCTGGTTGGTGCTGCGACTCCTGTCGAGCCAGTTGAAACATTTCGTCGCAAGAAGGACAGCGTGAACTTTTTGGCGGCTGATGTTGCAAGGGTGTTGAAGGTTTTGAGGGCAGACAAGCATGACCCTACGGTCAATGGCATGTTTCATTCCGAGACGAGGCCCACATTTGCCATCACTTGGAATCACAAAATGTGGGAGGAACACACCTCTCGGTGGCGCTTTGTCAACTATTTCCTTTACTGGTACAAGAGTGCTTTGCTGAAGAGAGTAATCCCTCAGTTGAGTTTCCTCATGCTTTGGACAGCGGCCTCCCTCTACCTCGCAGATCATACCCAATTCATGCAAATCAATTTTCCAATGACATCACTGTCTTTGGTTTCTGGTTTTGTGGCTTCATTGCTGGGAGTGCGCACAGGTCAAGGAATGAGTCGATTGTTGGAAGCACGACAAGCCTTTGGAAAGGTCGTCTTCTACACTCGTGATATGTCCAGTCTTGTGTCCAACTTCATCTATGACAAGGACCCCCAGTTGGCACTCAAGTTGGCCCGTCATTTGGCTACTTTTTCTTGGCTCCTCAAGAACTTTTTGCGGGGCCAGGCCGTCACCGGAACGGATGAAGACCTTATTCGAACCATGATCCCCGCCAAGGCTGATGCCGATTACATTTTGCAACAGCGCAAACTCCCAGTTGCGGTTGTGATGCGTCTGCGTCAGGCGCTCGCTCACTGTACACACAAACACCTCTTGAGCACAGCGGAAGAGATTGCGATTGACCACGCCATCCAGTCCATGGACTTGTCCATTATGGTTACAGAACGCATTATTGCTTCTCCCATCCCTCCGCTTTTCACGTCTCATGCCGGTCGTTTGATGGTCTTTTACCTTACCTTTTTGCCAATTGCACTAAAGGGCACCGGAGCCATGAGCTCACTTGGAGTTTTCCTCACTGTGTTGGCCGTGGGATACGCTATGTTGGGTATGGATGAGATCAGCCACCTTATGGAACAACCATTTAAGGTTTGCCCACTTTATGATTTGTGCCGAAACTCCATGCGGGACGTCACGGATGCTTTCTTCATGCGGCCACCCCCCTTGAATGACAGTCTTTCTTCGTATCCCGACATGCATGCTCCCTACTGGATCCCAGGAGAAGAATTTGAAAGCACAGACAAACTGTTGGATGCTCCCAAGGGCAGAGCAGTTGGACATCACAAAACTGGAGGAAAGTACTCCAGCACGATGGAATTGCTTTAGAGAGATAGATAAACGAATTCTCTAGAAGGTTTTGATTTTGCACACTGAAACAGCCAGGCATGCAAGCTGGAACAGCAGCGTCAAACGGTTCCACCCCACACCTTGCGTGCCAGCGGAAACAGCAACTGTAGCGTCAAAGGGCTTCGAAGTTACACCCTCTGCATGCACCTTGTGCATCCTTGCTTTGTCTTCAAGTCTAACACTCTCTCTGATGATATGATGTCTTCTCGCAGGAATGCCCTCCTCTTTTGTGCTTCCAACAAGCTGCACAACACTCGGGCACCACTGGACTCAGAATTGAGTTATCTTATGGGAGAGGTAGAGTACTGGGACGCAGAATGCATGCTTTGAGTACCGGACGAGCTTGCCCGGACACACGTTTTTCCTTCCCTTCGGCTTTTTGACGGAAGCCTTGCAAAAAAAGTTTTGACTTTGGCTCATACATCAGAATTGAGAGACAAGCAACGGACCTTGAGTGCTGGTGCATACTGCTGCAGGACCTTCCGTTTCCTTTCTTCTCTACGTAAACATAACACTGCGTAGCGAATCTGCTTGGAGCGGGAAAGATGAGCTCACTTAGCAAGTTTT